ATGTCGTTATACATGGTGAGAGGACCAGAGCTTGGCCTCCCTAATGTCGTTATATATGGTGAGAGGACCTGAGCTTGGCCTCCCTAATGTCGTTATACATGGTGAGAGGACCAGAGCTTGTCCTCCCTTATGTCGTTACAGCTGATTACATCTGTGCATGGACTTCAGTGAACACTTTGTTTGTAAGGCAAAAGATCAGGAAACAAATTAAACTGAGAGCCTTAAGATTATAAACATGCCTTTCCAAAAATCTTTGGATATTCAGTTATAAATGTCAACAAAATCTGTGTCCTACTACTTGCACTCTCACTGGGAAAATAAAAATGAACACAATTTTGAATTTGCAGTTTAGAAATTGTTATTTCTACTTTATGAGAAATGTTCAATATTGAATTGGTGGGTTAATCTTGCCACAAAAGTCATGAAAATAGCAGAATGAACTCTGTATCTGTTTATTAGATAAACATTTAATAAGTTAATTCTTATATATGTATTGGGACAAATAAACACATTTCAAATCAGTGTTAGACTTGTCAAGTTTTCCGAAACAATTTATTCAATTAATGCCTGTTACTTAGATATTCTGGTCACAGAATTGTGTTATAATTTACAATATTCTTAATACATGTAATTCTAAATTACAAAACTTTTGTGACTAGAATATTTGCACTCAAACTTGCCAACATATCAAAATAAGAAATAGGATTGGAGTACCAAATATTAAAGTTTCATTCATAAGAACTGCTGGGAACACCTCCAAGTCGCTGTATTTTGAATTCTAAAATTTTACCAAGGCATATGATTCACAGATTTACAGACAGGGAAAAACTTTACAAAAAATAATTTGACAACATCAAAATGTATCTGAGATATCGTCCTTACTGTGTCACTGTATATCATTCTCGTGACGAGCTGAAATATTTAAACAGGACATCTTTATCTGTACTCTTTAATTCATACTTACTGTACAACTAAGTTAAAAAAAAAAATATGGTAATCCCCTTCATTCAGTTGATAGCTCATATAAGTTTGAAAATTATGTTAAAATTGGTAGGATTTCTAGTAAGGTTTAAAAACTAAAACATACCACACATACACACATCATGGTGTATCTTTAAGTCATAACACATTTTTTAGAAATCATAATAGTCCAGACACAGTACCTTACAACTAGAACATTAAATATGTAAAACATTCATATGCCCCCAGTCCTACTTCAATGAAAATGTAGCTGAATTAACACAAGGTCTTACCAAAGAAATGGAGCAAAATCTTAAATCTCAACTCTGTGAAGTCGAAAACATATTCTCATATGAATATTGATGACTTTTGAACTTCTAGTATTGGAGTAGTGGAACTAAATGCAAAATCTAAACAGGGACTAACAGGACTGACAAACACTTCATGCCCCCTACACTATGTGTCAGGGACACACAAATTTTGACTCAAACTCATTATTCAAACTTAACAAAATATGACTCTCTATAGTACATGTGTCCCCATATAAATTAAATTAATTGGTTTAAAAATCAGAATTTAATACTGTAGAGTTTCAACAACAAAATCAGGATTTTTTTTGATTTTTTTTTACTGAAAAGAATTCATTTGCGTTGTTTGATGAGCACTGTCATCAGGTGGGTAGGTCTGCTTGAGAAGATATTCTAGTCAATTAACTTCTAGCTAAAGTGCTGGGGAAATGTTGTATCAGGCATTGTCGATTCGGTATTAGTAATGTGAGAATGATTAAAACTGATATATGTTTTATCTCTATCTGATCACTTACCACTTTAGCATAAGTGTCCCGCTCAAACGCTGCCTTCTCAGCCTGTGAACGAAAACATCATTGGTACTGATCAGAGAACAATTTATACAATGAAAATAATTCTAGCATACCTGAACCTTAAATGAAAATAAAAATTCACAAATATTTTATTGATAGAAAATATGTCAACTGATCTAATTATTCTGCTTAAATATCCACTTTTTCCACATTTTAACTTCTATATTACTTGTATGGTTACATCTTTCTACAAAGAGTTGTCCTTCTTTTTAATTATAGCTATATAATACAGACTATTACCAGGTATAGACACTCACCACCGGTATGATATTGGCCAGCTGTTCTACCAAACACTTTTACTCACCACACGTATGATATTGGCCAGCTGTTCTACCTAACACTATTACTCACCACCCGTATGATATTGGCCAGCTGTTCTACCAAACACTATTACTCACCACCCGTATGATATTGGCCAGCTGTTCCTGTACCGTGTATTCCTTGTTCTCCGACTGCTCCACAGCCTTCTGTAGGTACATGATTTTGGACTGGGCTTTCCTATGGAAGTTCAAATAGATATATTTACACATAGAATATCACTTCCCTCAGCTTTGATAATCAGGAACAATGACACTGCAGGTGCTATACATTTCGTCTATGTCAGATTTTGTAATGGACCAAATTGACTATATTTAATGTTCGAAAATATTGATAATAGTTTCCCAACTTGTAATTCAAGTTCATTTTATGTAAAAAATGATAATTTCTGTTAAATTACCGGACAGCTTTCTGCATAGCCTTCATCTCAGCCTGGACACGCTTGTTCTCTGCTGCCAGCCCCACAAACCTGGCACTTTGGGCTTTCCTCTCTCCCTGTACCGCCTAGCAGCATTATCATGAAAATAAACAATTTTGGATGAAAATGATTTAACTATTATTTGTTAAAAGAAATTTTATTTTCAGCTTTCATGATAGCTTTATGTTAAAAATTAGCCATTGATATGACCCAAACTGGATATAGTTGTTTGCAAGACAAATTTGTTTTTGTTTAGACCAGTTTTACCTGTAGTTTGATTTTAAGACTGTCCATTTCATCCTTGTGACCTTCCTCTTTCTCTACTACACTCCTACAAACAAAACAAAACACATATTTACCACCCATATCTCATTGGTACTTCTAAACAAAATATTACACTTCATTTCAACCTAAGAATCTATCAAGATATGCTTGCAGTTTTTGCTATTTGCAGCCAAGAACACATATATCTTTTATGTCTTTTTTCCTTTAATAAGTTTCTGAATTACTGCACATAAGGTGATTAAACAGCCTGAGATGAGGTGTACTGACCTTTTGAGGTCTGCTATTGTGTTGATGTAGTCCTGTGCTGTGGACTTGTCAGGGGTCTCCAGCATCAAGGCATCCAGTTTGTTTTTCGTGTCCTTGTATTTTTTACGTAGGTCCTCCATCTCCTGGTCCACTTCTGTCTTCTCAGCTTTCACTAGCACCAGTTGTTTAGATAATTTTGACACTGCAAGCAATTATAGGATCCTTAAATCATCAAAATGGAAAATAGGAAAGGTAAACTAAAGATAAATCAAGTCAAAAGCAAATATTTTTTTTATTTTAGGTGCTAGAAAGAAAGTTCATTTTATTTTGACATAGTCTTAACATGGATATCTGAAATGCATAATATATGTCACTATACTTCCTTTCAACTAACTTAAGACTCTACTCTTTTTCGATACAATAATAAATAACCTTGACATATTGCAATTTGATGCATGTTGCCTGCTCTTGACCCTTTGAACTTAAAAACAACATTCTGATGCTTTTTAACCCCCCTAGCTCTTTAATCTTGCAATATTGCATTTTTGTGCAATTGTATGGTACCTGCCCTTGGCCTGCTGACACCATTTCACACAGAATACTTACCTTCCCGTACATGAGCCTGATGCATGTCTCGTGCCTTCTGGTCTTTCACATCAATTTGTTCTAGCAAGTTCTGATTTTCTTCCAGCACAAGTTTGGCATTGTCTTTGAGTTGGTCCCTGAACAAAAGTAAACATGGTGAGGAGATATTTAGCAAATTCAATCTGTTTTCAAAATGTAAGTGCTTATATAGATAGACTAGAACATGTTCAGAAAGAACTTCATTTGGGAAATCATGTCCACAGCTAAAGAATCATACATTGAGTCTCCAATTGAACAAGAACTTGTCTTCAAATGACTTCAGCCTTTCAAAATGCTTACACACATTCATATAGTCCATGTTCATGGAAGAGATGGTTTTCTCCAATCATGGTTTTTGTGCAAATTAAAAATAAAACAGAATTTTCTTTTTTATCTTTATAATATCAAAAATAAAAGGCAAACATGTTTTTTTCAAACAAAATTATGAAGCTTAACTGATTCCTGTTGCTGACTGAATCATGCCTATCAGTCTTGACCCTTTACTTACTTACATGCCCCTAGACTCTTTACTCAAAAAACATTCCCCGTGGCCTCTTTATTGATAAAGATCTGAATTCAGTCTTACCATTCTGTGACATCGATGGGGCCGCGTTTGACTGCGTGGTCAAGTTTTTTGTGTAGTTGTTGGTTTTCAATAATGATATCCTCAGCCTGTATGCGTAATTTTTCTAGCTCTCCCTGTGGAAATACAATAAAATATTTTCTCATTCATAATACACCAAACATATTCATATCTTTCAGATCAAACAGACCATTTAACATAGAAGTGTGCTTTCTTAGACTTTCTTGATTGTTCAAATAGAACACCGATTATATATATATAATTACCCTTGAAACATCGATTATAACTTTGTTTTTGTCTACCAAGGGGTAACCTTCAATGTCTTTGTCATCTTAACAGGACAAATAAATTGGCTTGCCCTTTGTACAGTTGAAATGTAAACAAATTCAAGGTACCACAGGTAAAGAAAACCTCTTTTAAAGTATGTCCCTTCTATAGGGTAGATATGGAAATCATGGTACAGTATACCATCAGAGCCAATTGTTACCTGATAGTGAATCACAATGTTATCTTTCTCCCGGAGACGGTCATCGTAGGCCATGAACAATGGAGACAAGTACTGCACATTTATCTGAAGATAAATTAATTTTATAGTCCAACATCCCACACACACAATCTCATCCTGGATGACAAGAATTGTATTTTGAATGAAAATAAAGTTTTTTAATGATAAATCCTAATTATTGAAATATGCAATTGAAAATTCATGTGATGAAATTATAAAAGAAACTTTACTATGGACACAGTACAATGACTGGACACTATGTACGTTTTAGTGAAATCCTGTAGATATAATACTTACCAGCCAGGAAGGGATTGGGCCATTGTCTGGAAGTCCAAGCATTTCACCTGCCTGTAAGTAAATAAACACGTGTTACATGATAAGCCTGTCACAGATCAGTTGATTACATTGACTAATCATATACCCTATTCTAGGCGAGCAGAATTTAGAAGTTTATAAGGTTTGTGTTGCTTAAGGACACTACAAAATGGCGTCAATAGGACCTGAAATTACAACATTCAGGCTAAGTTAAAACACTGTTGAATGTTACCACCCACTGTGCTATGTGGTCATGTACTTCTAACTATACATATATTTTTGCCCTTTTGAAGAGCCTTTCGTTTAAAAGTGAAATAAGCAAAAGATAAAATGGGGACAAAAATATCCATTTTCTGAAGTACAATGACATAAACAGTCATGAGATTAAAATTGAACTTAGAATTAAATATGTATATAGTAGTCATTCTAGATATCGGAGTTTGTTTAACTGCCATGGATTTCTCCCATCATGTTCTGGTTCCCCGTGGCAACCACCACTGTGATGAGTAATGTTCTACCACTCCTGGCCGAGCATGGTTCCTAACCTTTTCACCCGGCTGTATGGTCCTGTACTTGGCCTGGTAACTACTCAGTTCTACACTCAGTCTGTGTACAGAACTCTTCAGTGTGTTGTTTTCCTCCTTCATGTCGTGGAGCTGTTTCTTCAGCAGCAGGTTTGAAGCCATCTCCCTGTCTGTAGTGTACAGAGAATTTCAACAATGATATTATATAATCAGATTATAACATTTAGCTTAAACTTCAACATTGAGTATAGTATTGACATATTAACCTTGTGATAAATATACATGTATAGCTTAATGTGTAAACTACATTTTAGGTATAGCTTATATCTTTTAAGCCAAGAGAAGTTTTACTTGTCAAATATATATACATGTTCACATTTCAAAGAAAATCACATAGGTAATTTATGCATCCATAGTAACACTTAAGTTTTATTCCAGGAGTTCTGTACATTTAACAAGAAAGAACTTCCTACAATTTTGATTCACTTGTTGTGTCTGGGCTCGTTCACCTTCTCCAGTAAGACTTACCTCCCTTATCAAGGGCCTCTGACACCTTCTGTAGTGAGTGGACCTCCCCCTCCAGATCCTCATTGCGTGACCTCAGTAAAACATTTTCACCCTCAAGACTCCGTGTCAACTCATCAACACTCCTTGCTGTGTTGGAACCTGACATCAGCGACCGGTGAGACATTGAACCTGAAAATAAAAGCAGTTCACATAAATGGCCAGGGGAAACAAAACAATAGTTCTATACACTTTTGGGGCTGTCTTTGGAAGACACAAAAATAGTATCTTTAAACAAAAGCATTTAAATTACAGGTTTGATTTAAAACTATTTCAAAAGTCAATTTCCTTTGTTGACAGGACCTGAAAACTCAACCAATCAACCTAAGTTTTATTGTGTAAATCAGTACAAATAACAAGTTCATTGCATACAATCTCGCCTAAACAATGCTTTCAAATATCTCGCTTTTTTCGTTTTTCAAAGTAATTTGAAATGTGGAAAGTTTTGGACAAAGTGTATGTTAATATTTCCCTTTTTAAAAATGTATTTTTTTCATAAAAAGATAACATTTTTTTCTCAGTTTTATCTCCACATTATGATTATGTTTTTTTGTGTGTGTTACGTTTTAATATTTTATTCATAAAGTTTTCCACATGTCAGAAATGGTTCCCCTGTGGTGTCAGTTGAGGTAGACAGGAGTAACGCATGTTGATCAATATAAACATACAAAGACAAACAAAATCAACTGAAACACCAACATGAACTTTGAAAACAACAAGTACTTTGGAACATCATTAGTCTAGATTTCTTTTCACAAAAATGTCTAAATAGGCAAGAAGACTAAGAATGATTAAGAATTAGGTCTAAAGTTACGAGGGCCCACCTGTCCGCAACATCTGAAGTCTTCAGTTTTTCCTAGCTGTAAGATTAAACATTGAGCTTAGCCACTTGGGATTTCGACAACCTGATGTTTCATACAAGAACTGCTAGACTACCAAGGTTCCACTGTATCCTGGGATGGGGAGAAATAGACCACAAAATGTAAATTTCAGCAATTTTTAAGGATATGATCAATATGCAACCAGCAAACAGCAACCATATATAGTAATGAAATGAGAAGGGCGACATTAACACTTCGCAGATATAAATTTTACCGCTGAACGACAACTATCCCGGTATATAGTACCTAGTCAGTATGCCACCGTGCATTGCAGCTAACTTCAGTGATTATTGTGTGTGTACAATACATGTGATTCCCACATAGGTGTCATTACCCTTTATATGGGGAGTGGGCCCCATTAAGGAATCTCCTGTTTGGGCCTCCTCATTGATCAGGTGTATCTTCCTTTGGGATCCCTCTCCCCTCAGAGGAGACTGGTTTTTCCGTGCGGACAAACGTGCACTTTTAACACTGGTCTCATGGATACTATCCTCTACAGGGTCAAAGGTCAGAAAAGGTCAGCAGGGAATACAACAACAAAACAACCATAAAATAACAATCAAATTACAATATTTTGCCCTCAGATCACATGTATTTTGTCAATATTACTTTTCAATTTCCAACAAAGTTTTTAGAAATATTATTCAATCCTCTGAATAACCATAATCATAAATGAAAGGCTCTATAAGCCCTGCATTAAGAACTATTTAAAATCTCCTTGCAATGAATTCCAATAATACTTGCAAAATAGAAGTGATCTGCAGTACTATAAATATCCACTTCAGTATCTATTGACATTAAATATATTTCTAGCATACAATTCACATTTGACAACCAAAGTCACCAGAGTTGTGTGTCAGAAATTGTCTATGAATTACAGTGGAGTATTTACAGTGAACATTGAATATAACAAGTCTTATGTAATGACAGGGAAGTTAATTAAAATAAAACAACACAACTACCTTCTCTTTCATCAACTATTATTTCTGTCTAATGTATGACTGGGTTAAACTATAATATAATCAGACAAATTCCCCATCTCATTAAAATCAGATGTTAATAAAAATACCTACGGCTATTAACATGCGGTACGTAAAAATGAACAGCTTTATTTATTCAGATTGACAAATTCCTACCTTCTCTTTTAACGTACATTATTTCCCTAGCATGTTATAGGGTACATAAGTGAACAAGCAGCCTTTATGATCAGATGTGAACATATCAAATTGATTCAAACAAATCCCATCAGGTACACTGAGATTACTTCAACAAAAACAATGTCCACTTCTTCACAGTAGGATTATTACAACGACAGGAAATTCTTTTTTCATACAATTGATCATGCATTTTATATAAAAATGTAAATCTTTGCATGCATTTTATTTATTGTTTTTTTATGTACATCGCAGCATGCATTGTATTTCATTTTTTAAAGAGTTGCATGTGTATTAATGGAACCTTGCTACATGTGAAAACAAACATTCCTCTAGCCCACAAATAAGCCTACAAACAACACAGAGGTGGTATTTTACCCTGTATGTTTTCATTCTCCAGGGGCTCGCAAAATTTTACACCTTGATTATAACAGAGTTCAGAAATTATTTACAGTGATCTCAATTCTGTTGCATAATCATCAACATTTGAAAAATTGAAAATACTGGATGTGAAACAGAAATATATTTGTAGAATTATATGGAGACAATTTCTGAAGGTTAAATGACTATCGTAGCAAAATATCTACAGGAGAAATACATATGATCACCATATAATTACTGGGCTTTATGTTTTTACAGTTATATACTCCTACCTAGAATTTACATCCATACAACATCAACAAGACAGGTTTTACACACAGGACGCCAACAGTAAAACTTATCTCAACATTTCAAAAAGAGTAACAATGGAAAAACTAAGAGAAACAAGTTGTGTAAAAGAAGAAAAAGTTAATTTCATCATTTAATATAGCTAGTAGAATAAATGTTTCGTCAATGTTAGTTTCTGTTGGTTATTTTCCTAACTTTGGCCACAACATTAATACTGTACCTTTAATACTGGGCTCCCTCTCACTGCCTCTTCCTCGTTGGGGGGCTGCTGACTGGGGGTGTTCTATCGTTACCTTGGTTACCTAGGGAACAAAGATGAGGAATGTAAACGTTTGTAATTCAAATATTTTGTTTGTACCTATCTTGTTTGTGATATAGATATGTTAAAAGATACTTTTGGTCAAAATTCACTTCGCAAAAATCGTTAACAAGAGAAAACTCTCTCTTTTGTGAGAACCATGTACCTTGTGGATATTTTTACTTTTGTTATCACTTATGTTAAAAAAAGTCTATTGAATCCTGACATATTTCAACACTTTCATACAAATACATAATTGTACAGACAAAATTCGATACTTGTAATCAAACAATTTACATTAATCGGTCACTATTCTGAATATGTGGGTCCTTATTCTTGATTTTTTTCAGACACCAACAAGGAACTGGTTAAATAACCAGCTTATGGATCACTACTTGATTCTAAGTACGACATATATATACACGGAACTAAAGACCAAATGTTTCTCCCGCTTTCGACAGTCTTCCACACTACCAGTTGGAAAATGATGTCATATTATCCATTAGCTTGACATTTGGCATAAAAATACTTCCTTTTAGACTGAAACTATTCCATTAGGGGTAGTGAACAATATTTGAACACCCCCCCAGAAAATCCTGAAATTGGGATATATAATGTGTAAGACTGGACATTTAAGATTTTTTTACCCAGAGAGTTGCAATTTTCCTTTCTTCTCCCCAAAGTAGGGGGAAAAAAGTCTGTAAATAGTAGGTAAATTCAACACCCTTAGCCCTGAATTGGGTGAAGAAGACTTAAGATATAAATAAGTAAAAATTCACACGAACAACTACATGTACAAGTACTGAAGGACGAGGTCACTGTACCAGTCTATACAAAATCACTACTATTTAATTCAACAACACGAAAAAAAAGTACAGCGTATATGGAAAATTGATAAGAAAGAATTCAGAAAGATCATAAAAAGTTTACAAAATTCAATAAGAACGACTGATAAACAAATTCAGGGAGATAAAATTGTTCAATGTCAACCTGCTTATTCTATTTATTTCTGATATTCCAATTTTTAGCTACTTTTCTTATATGTAAAGTATCACACTGTGTTTGAAAGCATGGTGACTTCACTGCAAGATGAAAGTGATAATGGAACAAGAAGTGGAAGTGGAAACATGATCTTCCTATATAGCACCAACATTTTTCAAAATTTTGTATTCAATCAAGAAGTAATACAATTTAAACATTTCGAAAATAAAACATTTATGTAGACTTCTGAAAAAAGCTATAATAGTCTTCTATTTGTTGTATTTTAGAAAAAGTTCCCTTTGTGTGGACCGGTGGCTAGAACTGTCATTAACACTGATGAGTTTACAAATAAAAGTGATAAAAATAAATTATTCATTTTTGCAGGATCAATGTTGGTTTTTGTTCATGAGTTGATTCACTAACAAATTTACATCTTCCATTGACATTTATCCTCTAAATAGAAAATTTAAGTATTTATGACTTCTACAGGCATGATACACTAAAATTAAGTACACACAAAATCAAACTGCCTTACAGTATCACATTTAAATAAAGGCATACAGAGTTTTAACCTCACATAAAAAGTCTACATTTAGTAGAAAAAAGTCTAATCTTAGTGTCGGTAAAAGTCCCATAATTAGAATGACTTTTTGTGTATTTGTACCTACACAAACATGCACTAAAACATGACTTTTATGACACTCTGGACACGACAAATGGAGGCAGAGATGATGATACAGTGAACATGCAAAACCTACCCGAAATCTCCTCTGGAATTGTGAATAATAAAATAAAACATTTACAAAATGTGTTACTGCACATGCCTTTATCTCAAATTATATACAGAAAAATTTACATCCACAGGTACACAATGCCAAAACTACTGTGACAGTAACTCAAAATACTTCAAAACTAAAAATAACTGTGCTGTTACATAAAAATGATATAAAGTCTATTTCTTCAACAGCAACTGAAGTATTCAATTTTCACTGAATCACTAAACTTTATTGTATTTTCAATTAAATAAAGGAAATAGTTAATTCGCAAAATTTGAGCACTGGTTATAAATTTTGTTGTCATAGACATGGCTGTATCCAAAACAAGGACATCCCATCAATCAATCAATAAATGGTTTAAAATTTTATTACCAGGTAATAGAATAGTCTGAAAATTCATATCTTTTTCTAAATCAGTTTGGACTTGGAAAATGAAACATACGATGGACTGAAATTGTTCATCAAGCAAAACTATTCCATTAATTGTATAAACCAGCCAACAGCATAGCCCAAACACAAAAACTCTGATTCATGCATCCAATCAATTCTTGACACTTTCAATTTCAAGTTGAAGCTTATTATTTTTGAATTCTATATGACGACATGAAAAATAAATCCTCACTGTTTCCTGGACAACGTCATCAGAATCTGAATCCATATCCCTGACTGCACGCATGGCCTCGCGAACCTGCTGACTGGTCCGTTGTAAAGACTGACCCTCCAAACTTTTCTCCGCTGACAGCTGTGAACCCTGTAGATCAAATGTGGGAAGTTTGATTGGCTTGAAAAGTGTTTGTTTTTTATCAAGATATAGATATGGAATCAGATTTTATTATTACCGTTTTTAGTAAAACTTGTTCAACATACCAATTTAATATGGAATTAACTACATAAGTCAAGTCTGTGATCTGATCAATCTTGAAACATATACAGCTGATCATTTCAACCATTTGGTTGGGGAGGTTATTTCAAAGCCAATAAAAAACGAATTCTTTGTAGCATCAGTAATGATGCTGATACTCTGAGTGTTATGTACATGTAGAATTAATACTGGTGTGGAGCCTCAAAGCGTGAGTTGTATGCAGTACTGGCCATGGACCTCAACATATGTGAGTTTTATGCAGTGATGGTACTGGCCATGGACCTCAACATATGTGAGTTCAATGTACTATAAGTACCATTGATTTTAAAGAGAGTCCCCGAAAAAAGTTTATTCAGTTTGTGTGACTGACATTACCTTGCCTCGTCTTGTCTTGTTTGGCATGGCATAAATATCTTTCTGTGCTTCTTGAGATTCCAGTATGTGGTACATACGATCTGGAAACCAAAACAAAGCAATCATTGCAATATTTACTCAATGATCCGTCATTAATCAAGGGCTCCAATATTTTCTTGAAAATAGCAGTATTGAACAAATGAGGTTCCATATTGAATTATTAATTTATAAGCTTTTCATAACCAGACACATGACCGTTGCAGTTTTTTTTGTAACTCAATAACTGACACTATCTAGTACTAGACAGGCCCTGGAAGGACACTATTAAAGGAGACTTACAACTTTTGAAACAAGGCTATCAAACACTCTACTGGCTACGGCTGCATGTAATTCACTGTGAAACACTTTGTTTAAAAACCTAGCTAATCTATTTTTGAAGAAACATGTTCCTTTGGCGCTGTGGTTGACCTATAACTAGCAACAGTGACCTTGGGATTGACCTCAAGACCATCTTCGCTAGCCAAGTGTTCGCTTCGTATACACTCCAAGCGAACACTTGGCTAGCGAAGATGCTCAAGACCCTGAAATACAAACTAACACATCTGAGGTATTCTCATACTTAACCTTTGCATAAACTTTTATGAAAATCTGTTAAGAAATGAAGTCGGTGGAGTCATGACAAAATAACTACAATCAAAGCTAATGGTTACCTCCCCCTTCATCATCTACAGCATGTTCCCGTGACCCCAGAGGCGGGGTAGGGGCCTTCTCCCTGTCCGTGTAACTGATCCTCTTCCTGGCTCCTCCCCGGAATTCCACAGAAGAATACCTGTAATGACACCATTACAACATTACATCTGCAACATCTGCTGACTGGCCAAGGTCATAAATGAAACAACATAGGACATGGTTGTTGATAATGCTAGCATGACCCACATTTTTAAGTGGGAATTTTCTGAATGCAATTTTTGTTACTGACATTTCTTAAGAAGTGTACTATAAAAACAAGATAAGGTGTTGGAGAATTACATGAAAATTGAGATATACTGAAGCGAGGATAAATCAATATCTTTGTCAAGTCATTTGTAGTCAATTTAAGTGCTTAAACTTGTCTGCAATTTGAAAAAGAACCAGAACTAAAATACAAAAAAAACTATATTAAAACTACAATACAGTGCTCAACAACATTTCAAGACACATTGTGTATTTAAATTATTAGATATTTCATTGAAGTTTGTAATTAAAAGCAGGATTTTGTTTTTAATCTCAATATTAAAAATTGAGCATTTTTATAAAATATGATCAGCAGAATGAATTTTTAAATGGCAAAAACTGCTGAAAATAATATCCCAATTGTTACCCAGCTTCCTCCATCATCTGGTAGTCATAGAGACTACTCTCAGGGTCACTCAGGGGATCCTCAATTCCTGGTTGCTGCTGTTGCTGATGTTGCTTCAGCATCTTGCCAATGAGTGAAGAGTTGAGGACACCCGTTGTCATGGCAAGGCCGGGAAGAGTTCCTGGTGGGGTCGCCGGAGGCGGAGTCTTGGGTACTGCCATGAAGGCCACGCTTGGCAGGAGACCCGCCGATACTGTTCCCTGCGAGGAGAACGGGAAAATTACATGGTGCATCATGAAGGACAGAAAATCAGCAGTATTCAATAATATCAAGAATTCTTTGATCAATTGATGCAGAGTTACATTTGACCAGATTTTTTACTTCAAAATAAATGTTCAATAATTGTAAGCTTTATTACAAATGCATAGAATTATATTCATTAGGTATAAAACTATTTAAATGAAGCATGTTAAATTGCAATAAAGTGATAATCTGTCTATCTTTAAATCTCCTGTGACAGTAAAATGAATCAACACATCAGATACTGATTTCATTACCAATGGATTTTCTGAAAGTGAAATAACTGGTATAAACATTCAATTGTACATGTGATGAGGTTATACATTGACTTATATCATCATACATCACTATAGGTATAAGGACTTTATTATTTCCATATCCCAGCAATAAACCTGAAGTTTTGATTCTACATAATGCACTGACTGTGCCATAAGGCCATTTTCCTGACGATAGTAATAGTCATAGAGTCAAAATACATTTTTTTCTTTTATAACAGTGTGAAGCAAATCTCTGCTTTTATGAACATACATATACCAGGTATTCAATGTTTTTCAATCAATCCTGGTTTTTCTTAAGCATAAATTATTGAGTAGTTCTTGAGAATTCACAGGTATGGTTACAATCGGCACAAACATGCTGTTATCAATAAGTAATGAGGACACTGGAAAATCACACACCAGGTCATGTAGAACAGCCACCAGTCAACTGAGGACTTACAAGGTGGTGGCAAGTCTGTATACAACCTGTGTACAATGGTCTGAGACACACAGACCGATGGTGGCAAGTCTGTATACAACCTGTGTACAATGGTCTGAGACACACAGACCTATGGTGGTAAGTCTGTATACAACCTGTGTTCAATGGTCTGGGACACACAGACCTATGGTGGCAAGTCTGTATACAACCTGTGTACAATGGTCTGAGACACACAGACAGATGGTGGCAAGTCTGTATACAACCTGGGTACAATGGTCTGAGACACACAGACCGATGGTGGCGAGTCTGTATACAACCTGTGTACAATGGTCTGAGACACACAGACCAATGATGGCAAGTCTGTATACAACCTGTGTACAATGGGCTGAGACACACAGACAGATGGTGGCAAGGCTGTATACAACCTGTGTACAATGGTCTGAGACACACAGACCGATGATGGCAAGTCTGTATACAACCTGTGTACAATGGGCTGAGACACACAGACAGATGGTGGCAAGGCTGTATACAACCTGTGTACAATGGTCTGAGACACACAGACCAATGGGGGCAAGTCTGTATACAACCTGTATACAATGGTCCGAGACACACAGACCAATGGTGGCAAGACTGTATACAACCTGTGTACAATGGTCTAAGACACACTGACAGATGGTGGCAAGTCTGTATACAACCTGTGTGCAATGGTCCGAGACACACAGACCAATGGTGGCAAGACTGTATACAACCTGTGTACAATGGTCTAAGACACACTGACAGATGGTGGGAAGTCTGTATACAACCTGTGTACAATGGTCTGAGACACACAAACCGATGGTGACAAGTCTGTATACAACCTGTGTACAATGGTCTGAGACACGCTGACAGATGGTGGCAAGTCTGTATACAACCTGTGTGCAATGGTCCGAGACACACAGACCAATGGTGGCAAGGCTGTATACAACCTGTGTACAATGGTCTAAGACACACTGACAGATGGTGGCAAGTCTGTATACAACCTGTGTGCAATGGTCCGAGACACACAGACCAATGGTGGCAAGGCTGTATACAACCTGTGTACAATGGTCTGAGACACGCTGACAGATGGTGGCAAGTCTGTATACAACCTGTGTGCAATGGTCCGAGACACACAGACCAATGGTGGCAAGGCTGTATACAACCTGTGTACAATGGTCTAAGACACACTGACAGATGGTGGCAAGTCTGTATACAACCTGTGTGCAATGGTCCGAGACACACAGACCAATGGTGGCAAGGCTGTATACAACCTGTGTACAATGGTCTGAGACACACAAACCGATGGTGACAAGTCTGTATACAACCTGTGTACAATGGTCTGAGACACACAGACCGATGGTGGCGAGTCTGTATACAACCTGTGTACAATGGTCTGAGACACACAGACCGATGATGGCAAGTCTGTATACAACCTGTGTACAATGGGCTGAGACACACAGACAGATGGTGGCAAGGCTGTATACAACCTGTGTACAATGGTCTGAGACACACAGACAGATGGTGGCAAGTCTGTATACAACCTGGGTACAATGGTCTGAGACACACAGACCTATGGTGGTAAGTCTGTATACAACCTGTGTTCAATGGTCTGGGACACACAGACCTATGTGGGCAAGTCTGTATACAACCTGTGTACAATGGTCTGGCACACACAGACCGATGGTGGCAAGTCTGTATACAAACTGTGTACAATGGTCTGAGACACACAGACCAATGATGGCAAGTCTGTATACAACCTTTGTACAATGGTCTGAGACACACAGACCGATGGTGGCGAGTCTGTATACAACCTGTGTACAATGGTCTGAGACACACAGCCCGATGGTGGCAAGTCTGTATACAACCTGTGTACTATGGTCTGAGACACACAGACCGATGGTGGCAAGGCTGTATACAACCTGTGTACAATGGTCTGAGACACACAGACCGATGATGGCAAGTCTGTATACAACCTGTGTACAATGGGCTGAGACACACAGACAGATGGTGGCAAGGCTGTATACAACCTGTGTACAATGGTCTAAGACACACTGACAGATGGTGGCAAGTCTGTATACAACCTGTGTAAAATGGTCTGAGACACACTGACAGATGGTGGCAAGTCTGTATACAACCTGTATACAATGGTCTGAGACAAACTGACAGATGGTGGATAGATGAGAGTAAAATCAGATCCGAGTTCCCTTACATCAGATAAGAATACACCTTGACCAAGTGAACATTACCGCTGGCTGTTTTCAATGCCCGACACAAGTACTGACAGTCATGTCATCATATCTTAATTGATCTAATTAGACAGAGTTAGTTATTTCAACAACTGAGAGATGTGATAGATATATTACAGAGAAGTAATGACAATGGGGATTGTTAAACAACAGTCTTGTATCATGTGTTAATGTCATCCATACTGAAGAAATACTCCGATCAGCTTTTCTTATATATTTCACTTATATTTGCACAAAACTTTGAAAGGGACATTCCCAAAGTCATAAACAGGAATAATAAAACATTTCATGTCTGTAAGAAAACTATAGCATATCATTTAAAGCCACTGACCTCAAAAAGTACAACGAAAGCAAATTTATTTTTAAAAGTATCTACCAACAACAACAATCACTAATCACGTACAATTTACATATAATACAAACAATAAAAAAACTATCTATGGAGGAAGACACTTAAGACTAAGCTGAGAAAAAGGTATGAAAATATAACAATATCAAAGTTACATATTAACTTTATATGGATATTACTAAAGATACCTTTTTATTGTGTATGTGATTAGTCGGCAGGTCTGTCCCTGCTACCTATTAACACATTGACCGATTCTTCAGATTGTAGTACCTTAATCTGGCAGATCAAATTAACCGCAGATTAACTCTACTGACCAGTCTCAAATGATCGGTCTGCTGCAGTATCTGTTAACTTAACTTTATCCCTAAGACTAAGTATCAAAACACTGCACGAAAAGAAAAATATACTGAAATTGTAGGAAAACATTAAAATAATCATAAAATGTCAGAAAAGTATTAAAATGAAACATAAAACTTTTGGCTTAAACAATAACTTTAAATATTATTTTATAACAGTAAGCTAACCAAACGTTGCAAGGAATGCTATATGCGTTAATATAGCTGTCCTTATCCGGTGTTTGACAGTGAATCGGGTCACACATTAAGTTGACAATAACATTATACCACTACAGCAGGTCAGGATATACATGTTTAGGTGACTTATTACATACATTATACAACCACAATCGCTGATCTACATGTAGTGCTGGTGGATAGTTTCCAGCAGAGTCTATTGTTCCTGTGGTTTGATCGAGTCAGTTGGTTCTGTAAAACACATTGCAAAACACCAACTGCACAGCCTTTATACAGTCCCTAATTATTTTCCCAGTTACTTAAAGCAAATATTTTGACATATACAACCCCCTTCCCGCCAAAAAAAAGGCAATAAGTTAATTTCATAAAAGAATTACAAGCAGCAAATGTTTTATTACACTTAACAAACAGGGATATCTTAAAAATATCAAAATGATATCAAAATTTTACAAGAAAAGTCAATCACATCTATTATCAAAATAAAACAGTTGTAAACAGGTAATTCATTACAAAGAGCTAAGGAAGCAAGAATACTAGAATCTATCACATGTAGGTATGGGCAGATTGGAAATCAAAATCTACACTTGTCAAGTTTCTGGCATTAAGTCTTCACATGAGGTATTTCCACATCCCCACCATGTCATGTCTACATATAACAGACACTAAATCTCACATGGATGTCGCACATGGAAGACGTTATATTTTTGCATATGGATAAATTTGAGAAATGGATGGTTCAATATACCAAATAAAACAGGAACAAATATATCCCAAACCAATTGAAAGGGGAAATAGATGGTTCATATATAGGAACCATCTATTTCCTATATATACAGCAATGGAAACGGGAAAAATATGGTTCATAAACAACACTTGAAACAGGAAATGGAGGGTTCATATACAGCAATGGACACATGAAATGGAGGGTTCATATACAGCAATGGAAACAGGAGATTGAGGGTTCAAATACAGCAATGGACACGTGAAATGAAAGGTTCATATACAGCAATGGAAACAGGAAATGGAGGATTCATATACAGCAATGGAAACAGGAAATGGAGGGTTCATATACAGCAATGGAAACAGAAGATTGAGGGTTCATATACAGCAATGGAAACAGGAAACAGATGGTTAATAAACAACAATGGAAACAGAAAATGGAGGATTCATATACAGCAATGGAAACAGGAAATGGAGGGTTCATATACAGCAACTTATTGGAAACAGGAAATCTAAAAGCTAATATTCAGAAATAGACACACTGGAAAGAGATAGTTCATGTAAAGCAATCAAAACAGGACATGTATGAGTTATATAATAACGGAAACAGCTAACAGACTAGAAATCACAGCTAATAAACACAACTACACGATATGTACAAAGATACACCATGACAGGATCAAAAGATTTACCATGAGCCTATAACGGTCACACAAAAGGTCATTAACCACCAGCATGATAAGGAGGGGAATCAAGATCAATACTGAAACGGACGTCAAATCCCAGGAAATATTTTTCACAAACAGAACACTTCCAGATTCTGCCTATCTAGACCATAAAAAAATACTTTTCTTATTCACCTGTTTGTCAATAACATCTTGCAAATATTGACATTCAGAATGAGTCAATTTTTTTCATATTGTATAGAAAAATGATCAACAATATAGTTATAGTATGTATTAGTCTAGATAGTCAGCACTGCAAGGACAACAGTGTTAAAGGGACATGTTCACACTCTTTGGAGGTGATGTTTTTCACTAGTACTTGGATATTCTTATAGAAAAATGCCATCCTCCCCAAATTGTTATCTGAATTATCAACAAAAACCCTTGCTTTATTTTAACAGACAGCCAACAGGATACTACAATACCACATGTATACCAGTTGTTGTAAACCTTTGATAAACCACAGCTCAAAAGTCTAATCAATTGTTTCTGTTGAAATTTCGTTATAATCAATGTTTCAGATCTTTGACGCATGTAACCGCCAACAGTACCTTTATATTTACAGTGTCCAGTAATTTATTGACAATAGTAACAGTAGAAACTATCTTAAAGTAGAAATACTGTAAATATACAAGTGTACTTCATTTGGAAATGTATTTAAGACAACAGCAAATTTCTCTTTATGTACAGCTGGTCGTTATGTCCCTTTAACAGTTCATGAGTCACTGAGTTTAGAGAAAACACTTATACAAACTGTTTACCACAAATCACAGAAAACACTGATGCATTCAAATGGTTCTATAGTTACTCTGCTATTTTCAACGCATGCAAGTTTTAAAAAAGTACTGTGTAGAACCAGACAAACCATACATCTATCACATAAAGGACAGAAATACTGGCTTGAGTCCATTACTGACCTGATCATCTGCCATCTGTAACATTAGTATAACAAATACATGAGGATTAAAACATGTTACACTGACAAGATATTATAACAACATTATCACACAAATGCTCAACAAGCTCAAGTCAATAACAAACACTGGTATTCCAACACCACACTCCCCTTAGTCCAGAAACCAGCTGTTAGGATCAAACATGTTGTTCTACTGACACAGTTCTGGGCAAGATACTCAAGATTTCCTTGACACTGACAACATCTGAATTCTTACCAAGGTATGATTATGACAATGTTTTTTCCGGTGTTTGCAGTATAGACCAAATTTGTAATAAACAATAAGATAAAGAGCCAAGATGCTTTGATAGCTTATTAACAGGCTATACAAAGTACTCATGCAATTGCTGATAAGACTTAAAGACAATTCAGGTGGAATCAATGGGATTTTTAAAACAAAGTTTATTATTTGTACCAAAACGATTAATTGGCTGAATGATAAACCAGGGTATACAATATGGCATTGGTCCTGATGAGGTTAACACCCTAAACCAGGGTATACAATATGATATTGTATACCCGATTAATTGGCTGAATGATAAGCCAGGGTATACAATATGATATTGTATACCCGATTAATTGGCTGAATGATAAACCAGGGAATACAATATGATATTGGTCCCGATGAGGTTAACACCCTAACCCAGGGTATACAATATGGCATTGGTCCTGATGAGGTTAACAGCCTAAGCCAGGGTATACAATATGATATTGTATACCCGATTAATTGGCTGAATGATAAACCAGGGTATACAATATGATATTGTATACCCGATTAATTGGCTGAATGATAAACCAGGGTATACAATATGATATTGTATACCCGATTAATTGGCTGAATGATAAACCAGGGTATACAATATGATATTGGTCCTGATGAGGTTAACACCCTAAATCAGGGTATACTATATGGTATTGTTCCTGATGAGGTTAACACCCTAAACCAGGGTATACTATATGGTATTGTTCCTGATGAGGCTAACACCCTAAACCAGGGTATACAATATGATATTGGTCCTGATGAGGTTAACACCCTAAACCAGGGTATACTATATGGTATTGGTCCTGATGAGGTTAACACCCTAAACCAGGGTATACGATATGGTATTGTTCCTGATGAGGTTAACACCCTAAACCAGGGTATACAATATGATATTGGTACTGATGAGGTTAACACCCTAAACCAGGGTATACTATATGGAATTGGTCCTGATGAGGTTAACACCCTAAACCAGGGAATACTATATGATATTGGTCCTGATGAGGTTAACTCCCTAAACCAGGGTATACAATATGATATTGGTCCTGAAGAGGTTAACACCCTAAACCAGGGTATACTATATGGTATTGGTGCTGATGAGGTTAACACCCTAAACCAGGGTATACTATATGGTATTGTTCCTGATGAGGCGAACACCCTAAACCATTAAAAATTAAGTCAACTATGCTCTTTTAAAAATTTTTGAAATGTGAAAAGTTTAGATAAAAGGATAGACATGATGTTATATCCAACCATGTACTGAAACAAGTTACAACTCTTGTAAAAAGTGCTGAAAAGTTTTACTGTTGAAGTTTTAATGAAAAGTCTAAGAGTATTGATGCCTTTAACTGGAGAGTATATATTCCAGTATATATTTGTGTTATTTAAATGAAGTTTGAAACTTTAGTTATTACTGTGAAAATCATTTTTACCAAGTCTATCAAATAAACATGACATCTTGTTATTTTTGTTTCGTCATTATGTAGTTCTACTATAAATTCAGATTCAGCATCATCTGTTTGATTCAATGATGAAAATAAATAGAGGGGCTACAAGTTTCTGCCATGCTTTCTTAAGTAGGTATACTATAGTTGTGATATAAAGGGAGACAATGCAACATATCTATAAGAATATAATTAAAGCAATCCTCATTCTTGTTAGTACTAGGGCTGCAACGATACATTAACATGAGGATACGATACGTATCACGATATTGTGGTCACAATACGATACGTATCACGATATTGTGGTCACAATACAATACGATATGTATCACGATACTGTGGTCACGATACATATAACGATACGATACGTATCACGATATATGTATCAAGATACATATAGTAACAGCAGAAGCAAAGTGAAAAGATGGAAATAGACTTGGTCCAAAATGGGCATGACTTAAAAAGTTTCATACAATTCACGTCTTTCGATGTACATGCCCAGCTGGAGCTGTCACTCACCATGTTGGAATGCTTATCAGTAGACTAAATTCAGAAAGGACAAAACCTGGAAAAATATTGTATGTATATCGTGACCTCCATAAAATATTGTGTATCGTACTGTATTTAAAATATCGCGATATATCACTGCAGCCTTAGTTAGTACACATGACCCTGACATACACCGTTAACTCACAATCATCATACACCCATGTTCAAGCCAATTACTGACAGCAGACACCTTACCTTGTTGTCTAGTTTGGGTGAATGTTGTGCACTCAAACATCCAACCTGAGAACAGATGTCATATTAATGATGTCAATAAAAAGTTTTGTATAAAATACCTGCCCAAAAATCTACAGCTTTATTCCTGTCAGCCCCCATATTGATACCAAGATTGTATAGCACAAGGTAAAAGTCATAATATATCATATCAATCAGAATCAAAAGTCATTTTCACCTGATCAATCAATTTGACCCTATAGCTATAATACAGCTAAGTCACATGACTAGGTAATAAGGTCACATGACAAGTCCAGATGTCGTCCTCCATCTTCTTGCACCACCTTTCCAGAATGTATTTTTTGTGTGTTTGGGAATGCCTTTTTGTATGAATGTTTTTGTTTGTTTGTTTGTTTGATTTTGTTTAACGTCCTATTAACAGCTAAGGTCATTTAAGGACGGCCTCCCCTGTGTGCAAGATGCATGCGTGTAGTGTATGTGTGTGTATTTTGGGAGGCTGCGATATGTTCGTGTTTATCTCAGTAGTAAATTTATATAAGTACATGTACCACTGTCAGGGTAAAACAAACAAACCTCCCTCAAATTTAAAGTAAAAGTTGAAATTTCCAATATCCATGGTACAATTTCTGAAAACTCCATGTATCCTGGACCTCATTGAAATCAATAAGAAAAAGAAAATCCTGATTTAATTGTACAATGTATCATTAAATTTTGTTTCTGAAGAGATTAATAATGCCTCACTACTCACTGGTTTTTGGACTGCAACAGACTCTACATACATTGTATAAGTGTTTCAATGATTTTGAAGTCAATCACATTCTGTGACAATCTACACATGTGGAACCGATTCAAGCTCGGGTTTGGTTTTTCAGGTTTACAGGTTGTTCAGGGCTCCTTTAACACAAGGTACAATATTACTAGAAGTTTTGCGTTGGGCACTGAACAAATGGGATGCTTTAAGATGAACATGGCCTTTTAAGGAGATGTTCTGGTTTGGAGTCCTTTTCAAATTATATCCTTGAAAATATATCTGGTTGTCTTAAACACAATACCCATAAATCTACATTAAAACATGGTACATGTGTAATTTATAGTCCAGACACCTTGTACTTCTGATTCCACACACTAAAATATCAATTCATTAGTGGTGTCAGTCTGGCTTGTACACATCACTGTGTATAGGTGTGGCAAGTAAAACATGGGCTAATACAAAATTTAACATCATTACGGTATGTTGATTTATGGTAAGATCTCGTACTGATCACTTCTGAAGGTCTGACTATACTGGCCAGGGTCAAGTCGACCCGATGCCTGGTTAGCTAAATGGCAACGTCTCAAAATTATTCCATCTAATGTATGTACAAAATATTGAAATCCAAAACATAAACTGTATGTATTGTCATTCAAAATGAATTCCTACTGACAGCAAACACAAATACATTGGAAGGTGTTTAGATATTTCTCAAAATTCACAATTTTCAAATTCTAGTTAACCCATTCACCCCTTAAGTCACATCTGAACCTTACCAAATCAAAGACTGGGCAAGTCCAGTTTAAATATGTAGGGGTGACTGATTTAACGATTCCTTAGCTAATTAGACTTTCAATGTCTGGGCCCTGGTAACCAATTTACTTGTATAATACCATATAACCAGGAAACAAGAAGTTAATTGGTGTACATAAACAGACATGAAAGAAGGGCTTGAACAATATTCACAAATTAAAGTTGATTTTTTTTTACACATTGCAAACTTATTGAATGCACAACATAATTTACATCAGAGAATGTCTGAAACATTAGTAAAACAAGGAAATATGTATATGGCTAGTCAGTAAAACAGACTGAATTTCTCCACTATTTGTAATAGTACATTAATGTCAGCTTATATGAATGTTGACCTTGGTGTTGCCCTAATTCTATATAAAGGACCTGATTTGAACCAAGTCTAATGCATACCTCATAAGTGTAGTATTTGCTAGATTTTAAATATTTTAAATATTTTAAATATGTGGCTCTATATATAGCTAGCATTAGAATAATTCTGGAGATCAACTATCACTCTAACAAGTTGAGACCAGATTTTAACTTGCCCATGTATACTCACCAGTACAATTTACTATAGATTATATAACTCTTTCATTCCATGGCAAAATAATGAAAATGAAATGGAAGCAAAATGTTTTACAGAACAGCAATACGACTAAAATATTGATTGTGTTTTATGATTTTAATTATATTGTAAAATGTGATTAAGGTAATAACTGTATTAGTTTTAGGATTTTTATTAGCATGGTTAGTATGATTTAGGTGACAAATATGTTTTATGATATTGATTAGTATGGTTATGTAACTTTTATAAAACAGATTTGAGTATAACATTGTTATTAATCGTGTTAGTATGTCAGAATGAAATCTATAACTAATTGCTGCTAGAGAATTTATTAGGACCCCTAACTTCATATAATAATTTAAAACAAAAACAGTTAATTACATGACTTTTTGAGACCTTGAAGTAAATATTTATCTTTCTGCGGCTAAGGAACAGGGAGGTACTCACAGGAAAGACTTAAAAGGTTTACTTCTACACAGGAATTACATCGGGAGGGTCAGGAGCTGAGAGGTAGACATCGGGAGGGTCAGGAGCTGAAAGGTAGACATCTGGGAGGGTCAGGAGCTAAAAGGTAGACATTGGGAGGGTCAGGAGCTAAAAGGTAGACATCTGGGAGCACAAACAGCTTAAAGATAAAGGAGAGTGCTTGAAGAAAGTGGAATGGGCTGAAACGAGCAAACTAAAATGGACATAAACATGTGGAATGACGGGCTCAAAAAGTGAAGGAAGAGGAAAGGCTGAACGAATCAAGAAGGGGATGGAAAGATTGAGATAAGTCAATCATTGTGAATGGCAGGAGCATCGGATTGGGATGGTCTAGACTCTAGACAGAACTGTAAAGTCCAGAGGGATTGGGATGGTCTAGACAGAACTGTAAAGTCCAGAGGGATTGGGATGGTCTAGACTCTAGACAGAACTGTAAAGTCCAAAGGGATTGGGCTGGTCTAGACTCTAGACAGAACTGAAAAGTCCAGAGGGATTGGGATGGTCTAGACTCTAGACAGAACTGTTAAGTCCAGAGGGATTGGGATGGTCTAGACTCTAGACAGAACTGTAAAGTCCAGAGGGATTGTGATGGTCTAGACTCTAGACAGAACTGTAAAGTCCAGAGGGATTGGAAAGGTCTAGAGATAATTGGAAGGGCCAGAGGAAATGGATCATAGGTCTGAGGAAATTCAGAAGGTCCAGAGGGACTGAGAAGCTTCCGACAGATGTGGAAGGTCCAGAGAGCTTAGAGATATACATACATATTTGGAAGGTCCAGTGGGACTGGGACGATACAGATTTGAAGGTCTAGAGGGACTGGGAAGATAGATTTGGAAGGTCTAGAGGGACTGGGAAGATACAGATTTGGAAGGTCTATAGGGACTGGGACGATACAGATTTTGAAGGTCTAGAGGTACTGGGAAGATACAGATTTGGAAGGTCTAGAGGGACTGGGAAGATACAGAATTGGAAGGTCTAGAGTAACTGGAGATATACATACAGATTTGGAAAGTCCAGAGGGACTGGGAGGATACATACAGATTTGGAAGGTCTAGAGGGACTGGGAAGATACAGACAGATTTTGAAGGTCAGGTGAGATAGAAAAGATACATACAAATCTGGAAGTGAAGGATTGGGAAGGCTTGAAAGAATTGTAAAAGGCTAGGATTTGGAAGGGTTAGATTTAAAAGGTCCAAAGGATTTGTATTTGAAATTTGATTTGGAAATTTTGATAGGATTGGAAAGGTATTGAAAGGGCTAAAGGGAAGTATGATGAACTAAAATAATGTCATGGATGGTTATTTCATGATAATGGCAGTGAAGCTAATAATTTGGTAAGTATCACTACACCTCAACATATAAAATCAATTATCCTTAAGAATTAAATCCATTTTCAAGGAAATGGAAATCTGTAAGATAATTAAAATGAAGATGAATATATGGAAATGGTTGATTTTATGTTCTGTCACAAGTGTTAGTATCTGTCAACTAAATAATGAAATATTAATAATTATAAGTAGATACACTACTGTTAATTATTATAGCGTACGTAGATGTCAGAACACAGCTGATGCAACATAAGTTTTGTATGTCAAAACATTAGGTAACAGCAGTATTCTAACCATGTAAGCAGATATAACTATAACTAGAATTATTGTGTTGCTTTCAAACAGAAAGCTAATAGAAAGCAAACCTTTTCTTCAAAAGTGATTCCAAGACCAGTTTGGGATTCTTGTCTTTCCTAGTAAAAGCAAACTACTTGGTCAGCACATAAAAAGCAGCAATTGTCAACACAACACAGTAAACAATCAGGTACATGTACAAATCACATAAAAATTCTGTCAGCACTTTTTATTGGATCAACAGTTCCATAAAAACACAAGACATATTTAAACTGTACCATGTATTTAAATTAACAGTTTTCTCCTATTTAATACGGTTTGATTATTCATATTTATATTGATTTTATATAGGTCTGTTATTCTCATATACATATTTATACAGATTTTATATAGGTCTGTTATTCTATTCATACAGATTTTATATAGATCTGTTATTCTCATATATATTCATACAGATTTTATATAGGTCTGTTATTCTCATATATATTTATATAGATTTTATATAGGTCTGTTATTCTCATATATATTCATACAGATTTTATATAGGTCTGTTATTCTCATATATATTTACGAACATTAGCTTAGCTATCTGTTTGTACCTTTTTTTGCTGCATTTATATGCTTTGCATGTTTTAGTCCTATCAAGAAATTTAAAGGTCCCTCAATATTATATGAATTTTCACATATTTATTTGCAGTGATTTATATTTCCAAAAGTTTCAAAAATTTGATGAAAAAACACAACAAACTCATCAACAATTCAAATTAGAAAATTTCCCAACACAGCCTCTCTTAGTTATGTGAGTACATGTATTGCCAACCAACAGAAACTATTCCAGTACATTTAATACAAAACACTGAACAGTACATTACATTAAACAACACTTGAAAAATAAGTATTATCGTTAACTTGGTAAGATGGAATGATTTGATTTAATGTCAACACTGCACACAGTTTTTACAAAGATTATTACGATACAGGTAAATGTTTTATTCCCTGGGCCTTTACCCGGTTTTATTTCACAGATGCCAAATTTCCTTAACCATACCTGTATTTCATGAATGTTCCCCATTTTCAGTTAAGATTTTCCCTTTAGTTTAATTAATGTGCATTGCTTTTCCTTATGAGGGTTAAGTTGAGTAAAAAATATTATTTGTATTCATATTAGGCACAATCAAATTTTTTGCTGAAAGAACTGTTTAGACATTTCCAGTTATCATAACACCGTTGAAAATGTTGACTTAGGAAATTATGACCCCTGCTTAATACCAAAAAGATTGATAATTGCAGATGACACCATTGTAAGCGTCTTGTAGCTTCTTAAGGTGCCATATTTTATAGAACATTTAAAGTTTCATGAAGTACGTGTACAGACACTTGTAACGGACAGCTTTTTGGCAAAACAGTGGATGATGTAGATGGACACAAAGTTTAAATGCAGAGAGTGACAGAGAAAATATAAACTATTCCTTTTTATATTTGGAGTATTAAACCTGTCTTCTTCCTCTTTTTAGGTAAACAACAGTTACATCCTACTTCATATCTCCGTGTTCAATTTCCAAAAAAATGGTGCAGTTGCCGATATATTCAGTGTATGACTAACTGACATGTTTAGTTACTATAGTTACCATACAATAGTTACGGTACTATGTCGAACTTTTAAATAATAAATGCATATCATGGCTAAAGGAGATCGGTCTGCTTTGACCATCTGTCATTTAAACAAGGGAGATCAGCCATAATGTTGCTGTGATGAGACATGCTACGGCTTGCCTGGGTACAGTAGTGCCTCGGATGATCTTGATGTTATACACAATTTCAGCACGTTATAAACATCATGCATTAACAAAATAAACAGACAAATATGTAATCAATATATCTGTAGTGAATCTTCATGTATATCCTGGTTAAAACTTACCATATCCCGCACATTTTTCTTTTTCTTCCCACGCTTCCCGGCCATTTCGAATCGTGTACGGCCACTGTAAATAGTCAGGAATGCGCAGGCTTCATTAGCAACGAGGCTATGGGATTTCCCTTCACTTCCGGGTTCCCCGATCGGGATTTTAAGGATCCGTGTACTGCTGCTAAAACCTATTTAGTTCAAACAGAGACGTGCATACTGGCTTTATGTGTCTTTGGTTCAAGCAGTATATTTTTTTAAAAGGCACAAGATTTCAAATGGATAGGAAAACAAGCTTACGGCTTAAACTAATAAAAAAAATAGCATTGTAAACTTTTGTTCAGGCATGGCACGAAAGGCTAACAGTAAAGTTAAATTTATAAATCATTTCTGAAACACATGTAACAGGAAAGAGAATAGTGTGCTTCCACCGGGGATCGAACCCTCGATCTCCAGGTTCCTAGTCGGACGCTCTACCACTGAGCTAAAGGGAAATTCCCCCTAGCTCGAAGCTAGAAGGCGAGCTTAATCCTATGTACAATTGAACCCTGCCACACTACTCCCCCCTTTTAAATGTGTTCGCCCTCGAACACCACAACCCAGGTTCTAACTCCCTGTCACCACAGGGAGGGCCACGGACACCATTTGTAACAGGAAAGAGAATAGTGTGCTTCCACCGGGGATCGAACCCTCGATCTCCAGGTTCCTAGTCGGACGCTCTACCACTGAGCTAAAGGGAAATTCCCCCAGTTCGAAGCTAGAAGGCGACCTTAATCCTATGTACAATTGAACCCTGCCACACACATAAAAAGCGTAGAAAGTTCTACGGACCTTTTCAGAATTGATGACGTTTGGGAGTACTGCAGTGTTCTTGTCAATGAAAATATATTTGTTAGTATTATTCCGGATATTATCACAACTCCGGTTATTGTCAATTTTCTGGATTAGAATCATCATGGGTTTTACGTAAAACAAAAATGCAGTACACCGTTTTGGATTTGAAAAATTAAAACCGTTTTCATCAGCCCATATATGAAGTTTATTAAACACAACTGCAATTGTATTTCAATTATTTTCGTATGTTTTGACCGGTAGTATATAAGAAAGCCATCCACGTAAATGGAACCCTCTTCAGATGGAGACAATGTTTTGACATTATTATATATTTTTAGCCCAAAAAGTGTTACCAAAAGAATGCTTCCCTGAGGGACGCCCATTTCCAATAACTACTTCATATCATCATAGGTGTCCCTGTCATTGAAATTCCTCCTTGAAATTGTTATCAGAAATAATTGTTCTTGTAAATTATTATTCCCCCCTTTTTTGAGGGTGGGTGGAATACAGATGTCGCTTATCCGTCATATTTGTAGGATTTAAAAGAGAAAAGTATTCGGGTATCAGCGTCGTATTAAAAACACGGTTGAAAGGAGTTTTTTTCAGTTACAGAATGACTGACTCTATCACGTCTTAACGAGATGGAATAGAGCGAGTCGAGAGTTTAGATTTTGTCACAACTCCTTTATCTATCTATCTATCTATCTATCTATCTATATGTTATACTCCACAGAGACCAAAATGGCTTTAATCATTTACATTTTATTACACTCGTCAGCTCATCACAACAAAATCATGAATCAAAATAATTTGTTTTAAATTAAATAAAAAAAAAATGACTAGGCCAGGGATGTGTACTATTCTCCCGTGTAATCGAAATATTTGCGGTTTTTTTCTTGAAATACGAAACGATATGCTTGTGTTTTTGTATGTGTGTGTGGTTTATTTTTTCTCTCCTCAACAACTTTCGAGTGTCATTAAATGAGGTGATAATTGTCATTATCGGTGTAAGAAGCAATAGTCGTGTAAAGTATGTGAAAGCAAATTGTAAATTTATCACGTGGGATTCGTCAGCAACACGTTTAAGGTAGCAAGAGTTATTTCCCCTTCATCGTGAACACTACTCACGAATCTCGCACAGCAAACATGGAGGCGTACAGTAAAGCGGAAACGTTTCTCAAATATCCATTTGATATCGACCATGGCGGTAAGTGTTACAATACATGGAACAAAGACATATACAAATGTTTTTCCATTTCCTAAATTGTCAACCTAACGTATATATCAACATAGGATATATCTATTGGGAATCCTTTTGTTTTCACCATTTGATAACACCTATAGTCAGACAAAGATTTTGTCGCTTTGTTGGGTTGTTGAAAGGGACATACTCAAACCGAGTACAAAATAATTTGGGCGTTATATATTTAAACATAAAACACCCGTTGTGGTAGCATTAAAAGGGAAGGTAGCCCAGAATATATATACATTGAGCAGATTTCATAACCGAAAACATTTTATTAAAAAAAAAAATCATAATGAAGTGCACCAAAACATCATCCAGCTGTTTCTTTGATGTGGTTTCAAATGATAATATACAGCACACACAGGGATTCGTTGGGCGGGGTGTGTACGGTAAATACATTACCACAGGACAGTTTACTTTGGCAACCGTAAAAAAGGCTGTCCAAAGATCACGCTTTTTTGTCAAACTTCATGAGGTCCATATATCTTGTCTATCGAATGAGATATATACTTGTTCAGGGTGACAAAAATGTTCCGCTTTTGAGAGGCAACCTGAACACACCAAATGAATTGTTGACTCTTTTCGCCTAGAATGTACAATGGTACACATTACTACACATAGTATCTTATAGTGATAAGTTTCTCGAATGTTTATTAACACATAATGCTACTGTTTCACTCACACTAATACAAAACAATCAGTGCATTCTATAAATAGAATAGTACAATCTATAAATAGAATAACACACCTGAGATTCACTTGACCATGACTCAATTATGAGAACTATTAGTGTTATGATTTGTTACATAAACAAGTGAATTGACATGGGAATTTAGAAAAAGAAATGTGCATTAAATTAATGCGTTTTATTGATTGTAGGAAAATGTTAATAGGATTCCAGAACGACCCCCCCCCCCCCCTTCTTGGTTTCAATAACCCCGTGTTATAACGTATCCTCCTTTACAGTTAGACCCTGCTATAGATGCGACATTCCATTTCTACAATGACTAATTTCTTATTTAATAAAAATCATTATTTCTGAAATCTTGACCACAGTTAGTGCGGTGTCGAAGTGGACACCTCAAGAACGCAATATAATGAAGATTGATAATGATGGCTTCATACATAAAAAGAAGGACGTCAACAGCTGTGACGAAATCTTGGACAACTGTGTGCCAACCCTTCACACGTAAGTGTAGTTTTACATACGTTACAGTTAGTAAGGTACCGTAATCAGTAAGTTAAATGTTAACCAGTAAATGTAGTTAACATTAACCAGTTAGTGTAGTTTGAAGTTAACCAGTAAATGTAGTTTAACGTACGTTAACCTTAAAGAGTAGTTTTATGCGCGTAAACCAGTAAATGTAGTTACCATTAAGCAGTCAGTGTAGTTTAACGTTAAACAGTAAATGTAGTAAACATTAACCAGTAAATGTATTTTAACGTGCGTTAACCATTAAGAGTAGTTTAATGCGCGTTAACCAGTAAATGTAGTTAACATTAACCAGTTAGTGTAGTTTAACGTTAACCAGTAAATGTAGTTAACATTAACCAGTAAGTGTAGTTTAACGTACGTTAACCATAAAGAGTAGTTTTATGCGCGTTAACCAGTAAATGTAGTGTAACGTGAACCAGTAAGTATAGTTTAACGTCAAGCAGTAGGTGAAGTCTTACATCAACCAGTTAATGTAATTTTACGTTACCCAGTAGGTGTAGTGTTTCGTTAATCAGTAACTGTAGTTTTACTTTAAACAGTAAATGTAGTTTGACGTTAACCAGTAACTGAATTCTTACCTTCACCAGTAAGTGTAGTTTGACGTTAACCAGTAACGGAATTATTACATTCACCAGTAAGTGTAGTTTGACGTTAACCAGTAACGGAATTCTTACATTCACCAGTAGGTGTAGTTTGACGTTAACCAGTAACGGAATTCTTGTTAACCAGTAATGGAATTCTTACATTTACCAGTAAGTGTAATTTGACTTTAACCAGTAACGGAATTCTTACATTCACCAGTAGGTGTAGTTTGACGTTAACCAGTAACGGAATTATTACATTCACCAGTAAGTGTAGTTTGAATTGTTAACCAGTAACGGAATTCTTACATTTACCAGTAAGCGTAATTTGACGTTAACCAGTAACGGAATTCTTATATTCCCCAGTTAGTGTAGTTTGACGTTAACCAGTAACGGAATTCTTTTATTCACCTGTTAGTGTAGTTTGACGTTAACCAGTAACGGAATTCTTACATTCACCAGTAAGTTTAATTTGACGTTAACCAGTAATGGAATTCTTACATTCACCAGTAAGTGTAATTTGACGTTAACCAGTAACGGAATTCTTACATTCACCAGTTAGTGTAGTTTGACGTTAACCAGTAACGAAATTCTTACATTCACCAGTAAGTGTAGTTGACGTTAACCAGTGACTGAAATCTTACATTCACCAGTAAGTGGAGTTTGACGTTAACCAGTAACTGAATTCTTAAATTCACCAGTAAGTGTAGTTTGACGTTAACAGTAACGGAATTCTTACATTCACCAGTAGGTGTAGTTTGACGTTAACCAGTAACGGAATTCTTATATTCACCAGTTAGTGTAGTTTGACGGTAACCAGTAACGGAATTGTTACATTCACCAGTAAGTGTAGTTTGACGTTAATCAGTAACTGAATTCTTAAATTCACCAGTAAGTGTAGTTTGGCGTTAACCAGTAACTGAATTCTTACATTCACCAGTAAGTGTAGTTGACGTTAACCAGTAACTGAAATCTTACATTCACCAGTAAGTGTAGTTTGACGTTAACCAGTAACTGAATTCTTAAATTCACCAGTAAGTGTAGTTTGACGTTAACCAGTAACGGAATTCTTTTATTCACCTGTTAGTGTAGTTTGACGTTAACCAGTAACGGAATTCTTACATTCACCAGTAAGTGTAGTTTGACGTTAACCAGTAACTGAATTCTTACATTCACCAGTAAGTGTAGTTGGACGTTAACCAGTAACGGAATTCTTATATTCACCAGTTAGTGTAGTTTTACTTTAAACAGTAAGTGTAGTTTGACGTTAACCAGTAACGGAATTCTTACATTCACCAGTTAGTGTAGTTTGACGTTAACCAGTAACGGATTTTTTACATTCACCAGTTAGTGTAGTTTTACTTTAAACAGTAAGTGTAGTTTGACGTTAACCAGTAATTGAGTTCTTACATTCACCAGTTAGTGTAGTTTGACGTTAACCAGTAACTGAATTGTTACATTCACCATTAAGTGTAGTTTAACGTTAACCAGTAACTGAATTCTTACATTCACCAGTAAGTGTAGTTTGACGTTAACCAGTAACTGAATTCTTACATTCACCAATAAGTGTAGTTTGACGTTAACCAGTAACGGAATTCTTACATTCGCCAGTAAGTGTAGTTTGACGTTAACCAGTAAGTGAGTTCTTACATTCGCCAGTTAGTGTAGTTTGACGTTAACCAGTAACTGAATTGTTACATTCACCATTAAGTGTAGTTTGACGTTAACCAGTAATTGAGTTCTTACATTGACCAGTAAGTGTAGTTTGACGTTAACCAGTAACTGAATTGTTGCATTCACCATTAAGTGTAGTTTAACGTTACCCAGTAACTGAATTCTTACATTCACCAGTAAGGGTAGTTTGACGTTAACCAGTAACGGAATTCTTATATTCACCAGTAACCAGTTAGTGTAGTTTAACGTTAACCAGTAACGGAATTCTTACATTCACCAGTAAGTGTAGTTTGTGTTGTTAACCAGTTTGTGCAGGTTTAGTAATTGTCTTTTCTTTGATACCACTGTTAATGCATTTCTGCTTTTAAAAATGACTAAATTCTTGTTTTAAAATGAATTGTGTGAGGGGTTGACCTATTGATTGTGAGTTATGGTGGATTTCTCTTTATCCAGTAACAGTGCTTACAAGAACATCATCCGTAATTTTCCGCCACCAGAGACAGGGGTGTCTGTTAGTGACAATCTTCGTAACTTGACCATTGGTCAAATCTTGGACGCACGGGAAAATGACAGTCTGGAGGATCGTGAGTCGAAGGCATGTGACGTCATGGTGCTTGATCATGGACTTGACATGGCTTTCCGTCGTCAGAATGACAGAAAGATCCGCCCATACCTCATAAAAACTAATCTGGGTGACGTCATTGCTCCAGGTAGGTTTCCTCTCATCGATTATAGTGGTTTGTCTATGACCCTAAGTAAAACTTACCAATCACCTTTCTATAACGACAACTTACTTATAAAGGCCGTCTAAAATAATCTTATTAATACTCCATCTTCATTATCTTTCAAATGGTATTTTCTATATAACAACAAATTGTTTATAAAGACCAATGTCTAGTGAGACAGTTACTATCTAACTTGAAAGGTCCTTACTGACAAGTTTGGCTTGTGGTGTTAACAGACGGGTTTGTCTAAAGTGACCTTTATAGGTAGGTTTGTTTAGAGTGACCTTTACAGACAGGTTTGTCTAAGGTGACCTTTACAGACAGGTTTGTCTACAGTGATCTTTACAGACAGGTTTTCATAGATTGACATTTGCAAACAGATTTTTTTAGGGTGAACTTTTATAGACAGGTTTGTCTGAGTGACCTTTATAGACAGGTTGTCTAGAGTGACCTTTACAGACAGGTTTGTCTAGAGTGACCTTTATAGACAGGTTTGTCTAGAGTGACCTTTACAGACAGATTTGTCTAGAGTTACCTTTACAGACACGTTTTTTAAAGTGACCTTTATAGACAGGTTTCTCTAGAGTGACCTTCAAAGAAAGGTTTGTCTAGATTTACCTTTATAGACAGGACTGTCTATAGTGACCTTCAAAGACAGGTTTGTCTAGAGTGACCTTTATAGACAGGTTTTTCTAGAGTGACCTTTGCAGACAGATTTGCTTAGAGTGACCTTTTTAGACATGTTTGTCTGAATGATCTTTATAGACCGGTTTGTCTAGAGTGACCTTCAAAGACAGGTTTGTCTAGAGTTAATTTTTATAGACGGGTTTTCCATGAATAGCTTTTATAGACAGGTTTGTCTAGAGTGACCTTCACAGACAGGCTTGTCTTGAGTGACCTTTATAGACAGGTTGTTCTGAGTGACCTTTGCAGACAGATTTGCTTAGAGTGACCTTTATAGACATGTTTGTCTGAATGACCTTTATAGACAGGTTTGTCTAGAATGACATTCAAAGACAGGTTTGTCTAGAGTGACCTTTATCGACAGGTTTATCTAGAGTGACCTTTATAGACAGGGTTGTTTAGAGTGATTTTTATACACAGGTTTGTCTGAATGACCTTTATACACAGGTTTGTCTATGTGACCTTCAAAGACAGGTTTGTCTAGAGTGACCTTTATCGACAGGTTTATCTAGAGTGACCTTTATAGACAGGGTTGTTTAGAGTGAATTTTATACACAGGTTTGTCTGAATGACCTTTATACACAGGTTTGTCTATGTGACCTGCAAAGACAGGTTTGTCTAGAGTGACCTTTATCGGCAGGTTTATCTAGAGTGACCTTTATAGACAGGGTTGTTTAGAGTGATTTTTTTACACAGGTTTGTCTAGACTGGCCATTATCGACATGTTTGTCTCAAGTGACCTTTATACACAGGTTTGTCTAAGTGACCTTTATACACATGCTTGTTTAGAGTGATCTTAAATGACAGGTTTGTTTAAAGTGACCTTTACAGACAGGTTTGTCTGAGTGACCTTTATACACATGTTTGTCCAATTGTCCTTTACAGACAGGCTTGTCTTGGGTGACCTTCACAGACAGGCTTGTCTTGAGTGACCTTTATAGACAGGTTTGTCTGAGTGACCTTTATAGACATGTTTGTTTAGAGTGACCTTTACCGACAGGTTTGTTTAAAGTGACTTTTACAGACAGGTTTGCCTGAGTGACCTTTATACACATGTTTGTCCAATTGTCAATTACAGACAGGCTTGTCTAGAGTGACCTTTACAGACAGGTTTGTTTAGAGTGACCTTTATAGACAGGTTTGTCTAGAGTGACCTTTACAGACAGGCTTGTCTAGAGTGACCTTCATAGACATGTTATTCTGAGTGACCTTTATACACAGGTTTGTCTAGACTGACCTTTACCGACAGTTTTGTCTATAGTGACCTTTATAGACAGGTTTTTCTAAGTGACCTTTATAGACCGGTTTGTCTAGAGTGACCTTCAAAGACATGTTTGTCTAGAGTTACCTTTATAGACGGGTTTTTCTATAATAACTTTTATAGACAGGTTTATCTAGAGTGACCTTTATAGACGGGTTTTTCTATAATAACTTTTATAGACAGGTTTGTCTAGAGTGACCTTCACAGACAGGCTTGTCTTGAGTGACCTTTATAGACAGATTTGCTTATAGTGACCTTTTACAGACAGGTTTTCCTAGAGTGACCTTTATAGACGGATTTGTCTAGAGTGACCTTTATAGACAGGTTTGTCTGAATGACCTTTATAGACATGTTTGTCTGAATGACCTTTATAGACAGGTTTGTCTAGAGGAACCTTTATCAGACAGGTTTGTCTAGAGTGACCTTTATAGACAGGTGTGTCTGAATAACCTTTATAGACAGGTTTGTCTGAATGACCTTTATAGACAGGTTTGTCTAGAGGAACCTTTTACAGACAGGTTTGTCTAGAGTGACGTTATAAACAGGTTTGGCTTGGTGATTTTATAACATGCTTGACTGTAGTGTTTGTTTTTTAAAGGTTTGACTGGGTGGTTTTTATAGGCANGGGGGGTCTTTATAAACATGTCTGACTGAGTGGTCTTAATAGCCAGGTTTGACTAGTGTTGTATCTTATATCAGTACTATTTTATCTTTGAACTTGTAATATGGGGAGTGATATGGCGTGAAACAAAAACATTTCATTATATGGAGTGTAATGGTTTATGTAGAAACTGCGAGCTTAACAAGAACATGACCTATAGACGTACATACCTCAAAAAACTAATCAGGGTGACGTCATTACGTCTAATGCACGTGAAAATAAATGGTTGATGATTATGTTCAGTGATGGTGTTTATCTTACGATAACAAAGGACATTTTTGAACGTTTCCACAGAGTCAGATGATCGAATCCAATTGGCTGAAGTGAACTATGACGTAAACCAGTACCAGGACCTTGACCTATCACCTCACCTTAACTTGTACGATCCAAGAATGCCGAGGGTTGGCCATCATCAGGTCAAAGGTTATTACGTAAGTAAGACAGTCATATGTTTTCTTATTTAATTTACTTGTATACTAATCATAGTATTTATAAGACGGTTTTGTAATACACATATTTCTTGTAAATGTAAAAGTTTTTCTGAACAGGTATTTATAGGAAGTTTTCTATTAAGCAACATAGAATCGACTTTTAAAATCCGATAGATTACACATTTGATTCCAGAATGTAGAGTGTAAAGCATATTCTCAGTTGTTTTCATAAATTCTGTCGTCTTTCGTTAATTATCAGTTTAATGCCCACCGGTAGCCGTCTGATACTGTACTATTGTCACCTGACCAGTCGGTAGTTCCCAATCAAGATAAAACTAATATAACATAACAGCAAATAACATAGAAACACTTCTTCGTTTACAGTTGATGAATCTTTCAGGTCGTTAGCCGTACGTAACTTCCGGAACCTCAACTCGCCATTTCCGGAAAGCATCCAGCTTCTTACGGATATTCATCTAAATATTTGAGCCAAATTGAGCAGTTTGATGTACATATTTGTTAACATAAAGCACAATTTCTTATTGTATTTTCCTTTGTGTCTTGTGTTAGTTTTTCCAATGGTGTAGTTATTTACCGCGTTATTCGGCTGTTGATGTTGGCCAGTAGTAGTAGCTGCTGTCTCACTGGATATGATCGCCTACCTGACATACTGTGGGGTACCCTAACTCACCGTTGTCGACGTCATACCATTAATCTACGACTACTACTGACGCATCTACTGGTAAAATTAGCTCATGGATTGGCACAAATAAGTAACCTCAATTAGTCACCGTTTACTGTTCCCGAAAAATGCAACAGGTTACGTTCCCTTTTGGTTACGTTACCTGAAGTTTACTGCCCCGTAAGTACTTTTCCCTTTCGCCTGTGCAGGTTTTGGGAACGGACGGGCCTGCTGTACCCCACTGCATGCCGTAGAAAGCAACACATGTTTCTCACTCTCCTTCCTAATCCAAGCTTTTCTTCTGTCTTCTGTTTAAGGAACATTGAAGAAACCAGGTTTGATCTCCTACCCCCAATGCTATATTTAGGATCTGTATTTTTTCTCTCGATTCTTATACTCTTTAGACCGTCAGTATCCGGCCTACAGAGATGAAGAATGTAGCGTCAGTGCCCGGACTACAGATGTGAAGTATGTCTGGTGGCCAGTGTCCGGCCTACAGAGGCGAAATCTGCCCGTCAGTACCCGGCTTACAAAAAAGGAAGTCTGTTCCGTTAGTACCCGGCCTACAGATATAGTCTGTCCCGTAGGTGTCTTGACCCATAGACGTGAAGTCTGTCCCGTCAGTATCCGGCCTATAGACTGTCTGTATTCGGCCTACAAAGGTAATGTCTGTTCCGTCAGTATCCGGCCTACAGAGGTAAAGTTGGTTCCGTAAGTACCCGATCTATAGAGGTAAAGTCTATCTGGTCAGTGTCCGGCCTACAGAGGTAAAGTGTGTCCTGTCAGTATCCGGCATACAGAGGGGAATCCTGTCCTGTCAGTATCCTCCATACAGAGGTGATGCCTGTCCTGTCGGTATCCGGCAAACAGAGATGTCAGTACCCGTTTACAGAGGTAAAGTCTGTCCCGTAAGTATCCGGCCTACAGTTGTAAAGTCTGTCCTGTAAGTTTCCGGCCTACAGAGGTGAAGTTTGTCTTGTCTGCAACAGATTCTTGCTGTGCGCGTGAAGTAAAGGTGACACATAGGGATCACTCCGTCTGCGTTGTCATCCGCGACGGTTTCCATGCGCTAACTCATCGAGGAATGCTTTAATTTTCATTAAACTTTCTACACATGCTATATAACCGGATCAATTTCGTTTTAGAACCAAATCTTAAAATCAACATTGCAGCCAGCGGCCATCTTTGATTTTGTGAATCTTCCGATAACCCTCGAAGAAATTACTTGATTTTCGTGAATCTTTCTACACAATTACTTAAGTTTGATTTTGACAAACAAACAACATGGCGGCCCGGAGACAAGCGACCTTGGACTTTTGTTTGTTAGGTTATCATACATAACTGACACACTGTTACTACAGACTATTAAATCTTTAATGAATCATGAATTTACACTTAATGCAATTTGATAAACAATACAAAATCTAAATGTTCTAGGGCACACCTGGGCCATTTAACATGAAACTGAGGTAATACCATACATACAAGATACATACAAATCTAGTGTCCATTTCCAAAATCCCACTTCCGAGATATAAGCCAGTTTTTATTCCATTCGAAACATTTTGTAAAAATCCTTTACGGACATATTACCATGGGAACGCGAGCTTTGACGCGACAAATCATGTAACAATTTTCTTAAACTTTATTGAATCCGAATGAGACAGGAACTGGCCAATCGGAGTGAGCTTTCGAAAGGCACATAGGAAATAAATTGGCACCAGATAGCTAAAAGACATAAAACATAGGGATATAAAATGTATATACGTGTACAAATATTTATAGATATAAGTAATGAAATAATGCTGGTAATTAAAAACGACCATTGAAAATCAACGTCGCTCAATACTTATTGATGTACAATGTATTGTGGGATTATGATATAGGAATTATATTAATCTTTCATTTAAAAATGAGAATAATAAAGAATTAGATGACACACTCGTCGTTATTATAACATGCATAGATATCTTGCTTATAATTTTATTAATAAAATGGATTGAATTTGATGCAAGTAGAATTAAATCAATAATTTCGTGAGCACCTCAGCTTCAGCATAAACAGTCATTTAAATGAAACGCATAAAATTGTATGCAATAAAAGTTAAAAGGAATATAAAATTGGTTAATAAAACAAAAGTTTTTTGCCATTTAGAACACTTTTAAAATTAAAACGTGATTTTTGTGTGTGTGCTTATTGTCGTGTATAAACGACCAGAGACATGCTTATTACACGTGGCTCCCGTTCCAACCGCTCGACAGGCGTATTGGCTTAGTTATCATATGTTCCCATTATTAAGAGTACACATATTTGAACAAAATGCATATTTTACAATAGTTCAACAACATCTCAAAATACTTTATACATTCAACACCCGATAGATCTCATATCCATTAATTCTGTTTAGATATAAAATACAGAACTTATATTGAATCCAAGATTTTGAAATTGACATGAACTTATGCCGATGTAATATACATATATATAAATCAACTTCTTAGTAATAGGAAATATCAGGCAAGAAAAGCTGACATATTATTAAATTATTCTCCATGTTTTTAAAAATGTAACCATCATTCACAAACACCTAATTTACATGTATGTAAAAATATATACCTTCCTCTTCACCATCATCATCTTATGAGTATTCTTCGACTGGAACTAAGAGTATTCTTGACTCAGATCATTTGTTGAGCTGATCTATGGCTCTTGGGCGCTTGATCTGTGATCAGTTACTCGCTAGCTGGTTTACCGTCAATGAGGGGCTACCGAAGAAAGGACGCTTCATTGTTGTGGAGGATTCGTAAACATTTGATGGACATATATAAAAAGTTTCTAAGATTTGTTTCCAGATATTTTTAAAAGCTAATTATTTTTTCCGAAAGATCATTTTTACATCAGAATGATAACCAAATATAGCCAAATCATTATTAAAATCATCGCCAACTCGTGTATTACAAACATTGAAAGCCAATCGTTTGAAGTCTTTATTTCATTTAATAGTATTTGATTCAATTTTTCAACATATAAAATCATGTATATAACAGAATGTCTGATTAAATATGTGTGTTGACTGTTAATTGTCCTAGGTTTCTATTCACCATAATCTGTATTACCACACATTATAAACGGAAATGGTCATGTTTGTCTTGGTCTTGGATAGTATTCACCAGAAAACAATTATTGCATTCTTTCCGCATTGCACCTTGACATACGTATCTAGTTATATATAGATGACGCATGCATCCATTATCCATTATATTAGCACTATAACAGTACCGATATATTATGACTCGTATACTGTCGTTCTTTAAAGCACCATTTTACTCCCCCGAACCTTGTTTGATTGACTATGACTAGATGCGGTTTTGCTGGACGAGGGCTGCCAGCAGTATAATCCTATGCTCATATTGAGTTGAAATGGTATTTCATTTTATCTTTCATAGGATTTGTTAACACTTTTATAATTTCAACTGAACATCGAAGGGCGAAATGGTTCTTTAAAGAAAGACGAACTCCATTAATTAATTAAAAGTTCTAGATTTAACAAATCAGAATAAACAAACATTTATTCTGCTCCGTTTGGCTGCTTCACCTCATCATCTTGCACTTCCGCTTGCGCAGCCTCCACGTCTACTTCCGCCTCTGGCTCTGCCTCTTTCTTCATTTCGATCTCGATGATCTCGACCTTCTCATCAGACGCCGGCTTCTCCTTGGGTTTGCGGCTTCTGATCAAGAACTTTCGTGTTCGGGAGAAGGTAGCACCGGCGGAAAAGAGGTATTCATACAAGATGGCGGCTAAAAATCCTCCAACCAGGGGTCCAATCCAGAAAACCTGCAATGATATAATAAGTTATTTTAAAGGTATGAAATGATGTCATGATAATGCTTATATGAACACGATCTGGTTTTGAAAAGGCGACAACACCTTGAATATTTTCTTTAAACATGAACAGTTATTTAATTTTCTACATGCAATGAAAAAAATAACAAAAGCAGAAACTTCAAAATGACGAGGCCAGAAAATACCAACAAGTTGACTCACGGAAAAACGATCCGGTAAGTAGGGTTAGACATATCAACATAAACAGTGCTTTGCCTTTTTTGCAAAAAATATAAATCTAACTTCTCATTAAAACATCGCAGTTTCCTGCATACAGAATAATACCTGACCTATTCTACATATAGCATATTATCGGTAAAGCTACACGAGACATCTAGTAAACGCCCAAAATGTTCGCCTCTGAATTGTAAACGGTTTCCGACGAGCTTCTGTACCCACGCATATCACACTGTCGACCCCATCACACATGTCTTGACCCCTCCCCTTTTCTACTCCTGCCCATAATTAGCTGTTTATTTTGTTCCGCTTTGTTGCTTTCCTTACATTTCCTTAAGTTCCACAATGAGTTAAATTGCAGCGTATCGTTCTTACATTATATCCGACAGAATTGACCCCGAAACAACGATTAGGGTTTCACTACACACAGAAGACCACACTGAATCATTCCCTTTGAAATAAAATCTTAAATTGTCTGGGAAGCCGACATGTTGAACTCGCGAGAAGGGGCTTTATTACTTGTCCCCTTGCTTGATTATGTAGTGAACCCAGTAATATAGATTGACATGGCATCACTTTACATTTTATACATAGAATTAACTCGATTTATAGCCTTCACGAGTACCTAAACCTTGAATCAAAAGTGTGGGTTTTAGCTAAACTAAAACCAATGATATTCTGTTTCTTTTTCTGTGCAAATACCTATTGCGAAGTTAAAAAAAAAATCTCCAGTAGAATACCATATATCGGCCATCGTAAGTACGCATCATGATCTCTTTGAAACAACTTTAATGAATATATCTTGCACCCAGCTTTATGTTGATCAAAATCATAGTTTTGTCATTTTAAGTGTTTTTTCCACGAACTCTAATTCAAAAGGGGCTACAGTCTGCAACTTAATTATCAAAAAAAAATGACAAAAACTCAATTCCATACAAAAATAACGGACGACTTTTTATTGTAATCGTTGGTGAATAGCTTCCTTATTATATAATTCTAAATGACTAGATATGGCTGATTTAAGATGGAGAGAAGTTTTGGAGAATGAGATACGGGCATGAAGCAAGAAAACAAAGGCAGCCTTATCTTGCTTCTATAGAAATAAGGTTATAATACATAGACGGATGCTTTGTGGAAATGTGTTTTTAGTTAAGTTTCAGTTTCCCTGTGATGTCGTGGAATAGGACTACATAACCCAAGACCTTTAAAGTGGCTCCCTAAGTGCCAAGTACCGATATCCCCATTACAAGTCAAGTGCCCCGAAACCTCCAACCTTACATACTTGATATACTACCGACATCACTGGCAGAAGTTCTGTGTGCAAAACAACTTTCATTGGACAGAATTATCTCATTAAAGTTTTAAACAAACTCGGGTTTAACAATGACACAGTTTGTAATGAAATATGCGAATGTGCAAATAATTTTACTATGATGTTATTGTTTAAGAATAAAGTTACCCTTGTTTTTTTACAATTCTTCTTCCCAGAAGCCAGGGTCTATTTGAAACTGAAAACTGGAGGGGAGCGGGCCGTGGTAGCGTGTGGGGTGTGTGTCAAAGGGTTCGGAAATGGTCCACGTTTGGTGGTATTAATGCCGAAACTGCTCTATGATCCCGTATTAACGATATTGTATTTCAATTTTGATTATTAAACAGACAAAGCATAGACAATTTCTTCATCAATTAGTGAGAATTTCTGTCGAATTATAGAAATTGGCCTGTGTAAGTTGATACAAAAAGCGATGGCTCGGCACGTTTCTAGCACGAGGGAGCTATTTCATTCAGATGAGCCATACACGACTGATTTATGGCAATGTTGTACTCCCACGAGTTAACTTCACACTAACTTTGGGTAATGGTTCGATTTATTTTAGCACTTTAATCCCCATGTCTGTGTATCCACGTCCACATTTCTGTATCTTATGCGTTTAGACCTCTCCTGCTGAAAGACTGTACTCTGACCCAACATATTTGCATATTAATTCATACATTAAAGCGTAAACTTGCATCCTCTTTTTTAGTAATAAGAAATAGCGTACACGTGCTCGGCGTGGAGTGGTATAGAGTGGCGCTAAGTAATTTCTTATCTCAACAAACGTATCAGTGATAACCTTTACAAGCGTTAAGACCACATAAACATAGAAGATGTACTAAATCTATATGAGATACAACGAAATAAAAAATGATTGGTGATCATATATAACCGCAGTGAAGAAAGAAAATGCCCCAAAGATTTTTATAAAAAGAAAAAGGGAGATAACTAACATAAAAAATCAGCTGCTCAATTTCTAATTTGCTGTTTACCAATACAACATAGTACTACCTGGTGCATATTAAATCTAGAAACACCATTGCCTGTGTGCGCTTATAAGCGGATGTTTTGCCACTTACAACTGATATTGTTGACCCGATTCCCTTTAGCTAATTTTAAACTGGCCTTGCATCCCGAGTTCTGTGGCTGCGGTGGAATAGTTTATCAGAAGAGCCACTTAACTGAGAAAAAACTGATTACATTTTCGGTGTGACGGGAGGGGGCGAGACCTCTGTCTCAGTGCTCCTACTGGTAATAATCCACTGCGGGCTCAACTCGGTAACAGAGCCAGCAAATATTGGGCCAAATTGCTACCGTCATCTTTTCATCACAAATAAATTTGTTTTTCAACTTATCAATGAGTACGTCAAGGGAAAACGTGTTTACCTCGTCTTTTGAAAAGTTGATTCTTCGTACATTCACGCTCACGAAAACAGGTACATTTTAAATAGCTGAATATGTGAGAAGTAAAGCCCTAATGCGTAGAAAATATGCAGTTCAGGTTACAGGAAGACTTAACTTTAGATATGCTACCCTTTTCGGGTGTTTTTATCATTTCAAAAGGCTCTAGCATTCCGCTGTTCACATTCTAGTATAATTACTACTCCAATCCTCAATCTAATGTCCCGACCTTTTAAATTAACCAATGCCAAAACGAATAACCCTGCTAACCCTTAGTTGCCTTTGTTATCATAGTGCTATAGAGATTACCCGGTGATAACGGCGTGTATCAGATGTGTTACTATCAGCAGGCAGAATACCAAGCAGAAATTTCAAAAAAGTTAGGTCCTTTCTGATTGGCTCATTTAAAAGATGGCATTCATTTTGAAAAAGTACAAACAACATTCGTGTTAAGTTTCTGGCTAACTTTACAGATGTTCTTGATCGTTAAAAAACAAAGATGTCAAAACTATTTTATCTGCGCCGCCTGGTGAATTTGTAAGATATCCCTACTCTGACACCTGTTCAAACTAAGCAGATGGGTTTAAGTTTCGACAGTTTCCCATGCTGTTTTTTTCTTTGACGATCCATTTAACAACCATGAAAAAATGTCGAAATACATATTCAATTTCAATTTGTCCCCACAGGCCAAGTTTCGCCGAAAACAACAATTCTAACTTCCTTAGCTGTAACAAGTTTGACCTAGATTTACAATGCATGGTTGGGTAACGTCTGTATTCCAGAAGGAGTGAGATGGTAGTGGCGGTATTTATAGTGGAATCTGTACTAACTTAATTTAACAGACTCGAGGTGATTTAGTGTATTTTCTCTAACAGAATATCTCCATTAGTGTTGACGAAAATGAAGACGATAGATGGTGCTTAAGCATCGTTTTATAGTAACAGTTAGATTGTGCTATTTGAATGTCTATATTAGTTTTGTTTTTGCAGAATCTATCTAATACATCGACTTGACGTCAGTTAAAAGTTTGTGTAACTGATTTATTGTGTATTACTAAAACACACACAATAACTTAACCTCGCTGCGTATAACATTCCCCAGTTACTCCACATAACCAGTTATCAGAATAAACCTACGAAAAGTGCCCCTGTCTGTCAACTCACATGTCATACCTGCTGTGTATAGGTGTTGGTTAATCACACCTAGTACGTTACCGAGCATGTAACCACCGACTTCCTGTTGAAGTTTACCGGTAGGTGGGGAAACGTTCCTAGGGATGAACGTATATATATGTTCACTTTGTGATCAGCAAGTTATTGGTGATGAATACCACTATGTATTTGAATGTAGCCTTTTTCGTACTAGAAAATTTCCAGCTTCCAAATACTATCAAATACCGTGAACTATTTTGCACAACTAATATGAAATTAATGAAAAAACTTTGTAACTTTCTGAGATGTGTTATACAAACATTCCAGTCTCCAGGCTAACTTACTTATTCCAATGCTGTATATTGTTTATTATGTATGTTAATCATGTTTCGTTTGTATCGATCTGAGTGTTCAATAAAGTTCTGTTCTGTGTAACACCTTCCGTCACATTGAATGGATCAAACTATAGTATGGGATGGTTTGAAGATTGGCGCCCCTTTCCTTGCGTTCGTGGAGATTACTTACGATAATAGATCATTTTATTTTTACTAGTGATGACCTCTACAAACTCTCAGAAAACATAAAAATCAAACAAGATAACAAATATTTAAAGTATCCGGGTAACCAGCTGTAATGCTAATTGTGTGATATTTTTTAAAATTGTTAATTAGCAAATGTATGTCCTCAATTCCTGTGCGGTATGTGTTTCTATGATTTTTTTTAACATTTTCACTTTATGACCTGCAAAGTGATTAATCCTGGCAGTGGTATTGTGGTTACCCTGTACGTACTGACATACCACGTAAAAAAGGACAATCGCTAGCTGTTTCATATAAGCCGTATGAATGCCAAAACTGTAAAGGTCGTCAGTTTAATTGCCTTGTTTTCGCTCACATCACTTATAGATCATTATAACATGCCAAAACCATTCCATGTCACATTGAAAACGACCGTAACAGGGGCCAAGAGAGGAGGTGAACGTAGAGGTAATGGGGAGACAAAATGGGGGACAAGTGGGATGGGTAAAGATACAAGAGAGTAAGGGAGGATAGGAACAGGAAAGGGAGGAATGGGGCAAGGGAGAAGGTGAAAAACAAAAGATTAAAACACAAAGGCGAAGATGAGAGACTTCAGGTGGGGGTGTAAAAGAGTAAGGCGACGGAGGAGCGGAGGGTCAAAAGGGGAGTTGAGGGATGAAAGATATCAATAGGAAAAGGTGGGGGTGGAAGGCTTGGGGTGGAGGGGCAAGGAAGGAGGACGTGGATTCGCGGGACGAAGTAGGTAAAAGATGACATAATAGATTAACCTACTAAAGTTCTCTCTGTTCGACTTACCCAGTGGTTTTCCCATTTACCGGTTACGACTGCTGGACCGAAGCTCCTGGCTGGGTTCAAACTACATCCGGTGTACTGGATCTGAAAACGAGGAAAATCGGTGAAAAACGACTTCTAAATTACAAAATTTGTTTAGTTTTATGCATTTGACATGTCGTTAAAAGTACTAATAGCGCTGAATACCATCCTATCATGGACTGTTTAGTTATGTGTTCCCGTATACTGGTCTCATTACGTCTTAACGTTAATGGAAGGGGGTCCAGAAACTTTGACTTAATACTGCTAACCGAGGTTTACCTCACGGACAATCAAAACGATTGTAAACGAACGACTATCTAGAACATACTATTATAAGGAACCTACATGGATGCCACTGTATCTGGACAGTCAGTTCTGCGGATATCAATCCGTTATGTATTGGCGATCGGAGCGTCAATTTTCCGAATCGATTTGGTTCGGAACATCTAGCTTCGACATTACAGTTGGTAACGCGAGTTAATTTCTTTTTAAGATATTAATATATTTCGGTACCCTGTAGTGAGTTGAGTATCTCTTTAGAACGTTACGACCGAATTACGCTACCGCCATGTAAGACTGTGTTATACGTTACCCTGGTATTATTTCTCTTTACAATATCATGCCAGTGTTACGGTACCCTACTGTGATTTATCTTAACAATGCCGTGATGCCTGTGTTACTGTACCCTGCTATGATTTATTTTACAATTGACTGTACCCTGTTATGATTTCAGAATCCCGTGATGTCATGTGTTACTACCGCAACATATAGCTGTCATTAAATTAATATTCTGATTCCATTTGGAAAAAAACCCACAAATACTAAACTCGTGTATAGTTATAGGGGGGAATTAGACAATTATAAATTCAGATAATTGAGGTCACTGTTTAAGCAAAGCTATATAAATATTTTAAAGATTTAATTGGAATGTAATTTGTTTTAATTAAATCTTTTTATGTAATTTAAATTCAAACCAGGGACAGTTCTGAGTGATTAGGACATCATTCTGTCGCTCAATGGGGAAAATATGTAAATAAATAAATGTAATGGCCAGTTATAATCTTTAGGATTAGAAGTATAATCCTTCTTCTGATACAACGTACGGAACTAACGTACGGAACCTAGCCATTTCACACGCTGTTTGCTGCTACGTTTATTTTACAATCTTTTTTGTCATTTTGATGCCTTCACATCATTTTTTTACTTTTCATCCTTGAAGTAAAACTTTTATTGTCACTTTAAACTGTTTCACTTTAATAATTACACTATGACTGCAACAGCTTGTTTGGGGAAGCAACAGCTTTATGGGAGCGATGGAAATATCACAAAGAAAAAATAAAGATTATTATGTGGGTATAAAAAGCTGAATAATCTTGTGAATCAAGAAAGGGGCTGAAACCGTAAACATGATTTGAGGGTGACGCCACAATCAGAGCGGAAGAAACTTTAGCGTCCTGGGGTGGGGCGCTTTCACAATCCGAAACCAGCCAATCAGAGCGCGCGTTACAAATATCTAGCGGCAGCTTCGGATGTTGGCAGTTGCACAGGAGCCATTGTCCAGTGGGGACGCTATCGGTAATTATGCTAATTAACCCCGCGGGATCCGTGCCTCGCCCTCTGTCTAACCGCCAACGTTTAAAATGTGCGGCATTTTAATTTACACGCTCACGGCTTCTGTCACCTTCTAGTACTGCGCTATTCAAACATCGATGAACGGGGCAATGACAATAAGGCCGTTTGGCGGGAGACTATCGAAGAAAACGCAATGCGAGGGTCGTTAAATTTCCATAATAAATAGATGAGAAGAAAGAAATCAAATAAGTTCGTCACTAACAAAGAAAAATGTGTACCATTATTGTACAGGGTTGAACGCGTGATGTTGAAGTCAGTACGCGGAAATCTGGCCACAATGTTTGTGGGCCGAGAAAAAAAGGCGCTAATTTTGCAATTATTACATACTTTGTGTAGACCACTTAATTGACTGTAGCCGCGTGATATTGTTATTACATGTATATAACAATAGTTATAGAAAATGTTGCTGAGTTTGGTATTTACGCAACAGTGAATCCGACATATTAGAAAGTAAAACAATTGTCCGTATAGAAGCGATGATAATTGACCGAGTACTTTATATACAGTGTCATTGCTCCCATATACTTAGTTTCGATTTCAGGTTTGTTCATGTATATTTGGTCAATGCATTCATAATAGCATAACAGAAGGTAATTTACATAAAGATAATTTATAATCCAGCTAATTAATTCAAAGACAATGGTAAACATTAAAATAGACCTTGTATGAAGCTATATAAACGAGACACAATTAAAGTGATGACAGGTATAAAACATGCAGTATACACATTAATCATCATACCAGGTAGGTCTGTTAATACCATCAGTTAATGTTCGCGTATTCTCCTGTTTTTATTACGAGGTAATCAAACAGATTTTTAAAGTTACACGTGACTATGGAACTGTCAGTGAGACAATAACCACAGAGAAGTATGTAAATAAATTTTTAAAAACACTTACGGCCACCAAATGTCCAGCTACCACTGCAAGACCAATGGTCAAGGGGGCAGATCCGTTCAAATCGTTCCTTTCTGTGTCAATGGAAGCTAACACAGTGAAAACCAAAACGAATGTAATCATAAGCTCCACACCAAAGCCCTGGGCATCGGTGACCGCGCCCTTAAGGGCGTTTACTCCTAGGGTCCCCTGGGTGTCCATGGGGGTGAGGCCGTACAGAATCCCGGCACCTACCAATCCTCCCAGGATTTGGGCCACGATGTACATAATTCCACGGACAATACTGACCCGTCTGGTGACAAGGGCGCCGATGGTCACCGCGGGGTTGATGTGACCCCCGCTAATGTGACCGATGGCCCATACCATTGTGCCAACAATTAAACCGAAAGTAAGGGCTATCTGGACGGTGGAAGGGGGCAACGCTAATAAGTCTGTGCCCGACACCCCCCCGGTAGATTGCTGGGGTAAGGCTGAGGCACACCCGAAAAACACCAGGAACATAGTTCCCACCAACTCGGCGGCTACGGAGCGCCATAGATTGGGGCTAGTAAGATCCTCCAAATTCTCCTGCATGATTTTCCACATGGTCCGATACCAGTTCCTATTGATACAAAGTTCTGTTGCTACTGCGACCACGCTGGTCCGGCTACAACTTCTTATACTTTGAAAATTTAATTTCCCCCACACGCTCACTACGCATGCGTTTTGACAAGCGGTTTGGCACTGGTATTGGTCTGAGGGATCTCCTGTTCATTAAAAACAACCTCTGCAAACCACGCCCATTTACTACAGAGGGAATTCGGTCCAAAGGGAACGCCGACAGAAACAGAATCCTAGCTTACACCACTCCAAACTGGGTCTCCCGTAAATTTGAAAAAAAGTGACGGTTGTGTCAGCCTCGCCGCTATAGCTACTACACACAATAGATGAACGATTAGCAGTACCGTTCTCTTGGCTAACAAACACAGATACTAAGTCGTCATCACATGTGCTGTATTTATATGGCGGGCTGGGCTGTTAGGAGCGGAAATATCAAAACTACTGACCCTCGAATCCCATCCTTTAGATACACTCGTATATGTATCTATACAGCCCACACCGCACTGCCAAAACACGTACATTAATCTGTCTTGCACAAATAAATTAGCATAATATGAATGATAACATTTAACTTAAGTGCAGTGACGGTGAATTTTAATTATGTTTTCTTTGTAGAGGTTGAATTGTTTGGAATTTTATTTTTTTATATTCTATATACTCAATTTTCTGATACGTATCTTGGCTCATTCGCTGTAGTGACTGACACACGTAATGCGTGTGTAACTGTAACAGTCGCTGTACCAGATGTTAACCTCCTGTATCACTATATATATTACAAACCCGTGCAGATTATCACAGCATTATGGGACTAGGCACGAAAGGTCGTTGGTTGTTGAACCTTCACACGGACGGGCACAGTGGAGAGGGGAACAACAATAGTAGACGTGAAATCCGAAGCAAATGGTTATTGTTTTTCCTTATCATTATGCTAAGAACATTTTTCCTGGTCATTTCTTGAAAAGTGATCGCAATTTTCAACTTTGGAAACAGTAGCAACAGATACAAATCTCTTATGAAAGTAATTGTAATCTGCAATTACTCAAAATTGTTTCTTATCATATTTTTTCAGCATTAAAGAGTTTATCGTCAGTGAGACCATACTAATTTTCAGCTACAGAAGTTGATTAAACATTCAATACAGTTCAAGGTACTCTCACATCTGTATTTACAGGCAACTTCCGTCCAACCACAATGTGACCTATTGTAAGTTGACGTTAAATACAGGTTCTGTTAAAATAAAAACAATTTCGATGGTGATTTTCGACAAAATAGTGTCTCCTTACACGGGTGGTCTTCTATTGAGTAGTTATGACTAATGAGATAAAGAAAGCCCAAATTGTTGTAATTAGCAGATAACCATCATTTATCCTAGATGATATACAAACTCTTTTTATGACGTTTATGTAGTTTTTCAGAAATTTCAGCATTGAAAGTTAATATTGATAAAACAAGTGATTTGATAAGGTGTTTAAAAAACTAGCGCAGATGTTTACTATCGTAGATGTAAACTAAACAGGGGGTGGGGCATGGTCCTTCACACACCGGTACCTACGTACAGAGATTTACAGGGGGCGGGGCAGGGTCCTTCACACACCGGTACATACGTACAGAGATTTACAGGGGGCGGGGCAGGGTCCTTCACACACCGGTACATACGTACAGAGATTTACAAGGGGTGGGGCATGGTCCTTCACACATCGGTACCTACGTACAGAGATTTACAGGGGTTGGGCATGGTCCTTCACACACCGGTACCTACGTATAGAGATTTACAGGGGATGGGGCATTGTCGTTTACGCACCGGTACCTACGTACAGAGATTTACAGGGGATGGGGCATTGTCGTTCACGCACCGGTACCTACGTACAGAGATTTCCGCGTGGAAACCATAATATTTACAAATGTTGATTATATGTAAATATTGTTTATGTGCGCATACATTAGATACGTCATTCAGAAAAATAATATCACAGTAAATGACTTGACAAGGTAATGTGTATCATCTACTTTGTATCTCGTTATGATATAAAGTAGTTAGGTTACTATCATCCAGATACAGATGACATTATGCCGGAATTGACTCATTTCTCCCGTAAACTGGACACATATGTAAAGCTTGGTATTTCGGGAATGCTAATATCTTTACCGCGGAATGACAGAACATGAATCGTAGCCCTCATCCCGATGATAAAAGGTGGTATCACTCTTAAGGGGTCATCAACATTTCGTCTCCTGGCATGATGACGCTGTACAACTATATAGGTCAATAAGACAATTAAGAAGATTTTGACAGTAAGCTTATCTATTGTATTTACCATTGTGTGTCTATGTCAGGGTTTCGCGTATACCGGTGTTTCTCTTTTTGTTTTTACATTATTTATCCAATAAATCAAACGAACGTGAAGTTGTGTGGCACCTTTGTGCTATCCATGTTTAATCTAGATATCATGAAATTGATTACTTGATATCAAAAATGATTACTTGATGTTTAATTGATTTCTTGATATAAACAATTCGCCTCTCGATATCTATATATGAAAAATTGATATTTATATTTTATCAATAAACCAATGTTCTATGTTGAATAAAGGATTTGGATATAAAGATCCTTTTTTACCAATAATAAAGCAAGCTTTAAAAACCTACATGAATCCTTTTGAGTATCTGTCATTTACTTATCGTGTAAACCTTCAGATACCCACTCCTATGATATATGTCTCTGTGGATATCTGAACATGCGTCTTCGTGGATATCAGAATGTGATCCCTTGGATATCCGGAGATGTGTTGCCGTGGATATCAAAATGTAGTTCATTGGATATCCGGAGATGTGTCTCCATGGATATCGGAATGTGAGTCCGTAGATATCCGAAAATGTGTCCCTGTGGATATCAGAATGTGATCCCTTGGATATCCGGAGATGTGTTGCCGTGGATATCAAAATGTAGTTCATTGGATATCCGTAGATGTGTCTCCATGGATATCAGAATGTGAGTCCGTAGATATCCGAAGATGTGTCGCCGTAGATATCAGAATGTGATCCCTTGGATATCCGGAGATGTGTTGCCGTGGATATCAAAATGTTATTTCGCAGATATTCAAATATGCGTCTCCGTGGATATCAAAATGTGGTTCATTGGATATCCGTAGATGTGTCTCCATGGATATCGGAATGTGATTCCGTAGATATCCGAAGCCGTATCTCTGTGGATATCAGAATGTGATTATGTAAATATCCGAAGATGTGTCGCCGTGGATATCAGCATGTGACTCCGTAGATATCCTAAGATTTGTCGCCTTGAATATCCGAATGACCTTCCGTAATATCCGACGATGTGTCTGCTTGAATATCATTCTGATCCTGTTGATATCCGAAGATGTGTCTCTGTGGATATCAGAATGTATTTTTTTTGATATCCGAAGATATGTCATCGTAGATATCAATTTATGATTCCGTGATATTCGAAAATGTGTCTCCGTGGATAACAGACTATGGTTCCGTGTTATCCGAATACTGATACTGCACGTCATTAGTGACGTCGACGTACCGCAGAATAGAGACATCATGTCGAGATAACATCACATCACGTCGATAGTTCTGTCTCAGCCCGTGTGAACACATGTACAGTTAGGTAGACTGGATCAACCAGAAATCAGTTTCCGTTAAGCGCCCTATTTCAATACAAACTTACAGATGGTAAATTTACCGTTAATTTAAAAAATACTAACACGTTAATCTCATGCAAATCAAAGGTATATTGAGTAAGTAAAGATTTCGCTTTGAGAGAGTACTAGAATTCCAATATAACTGCCTTTTATATCCTTGTTCACACGGTTCAAGGAGCAGAACGTTCAGTCATCTGTAAATGGTAGTAAATAAACAAATTTGTTTAATTCGAAACACATGTAACGGACGAATAACTCACACATGTGCACACCGAATTGTAAGTAGATTTTGTTTACAATTATATCTTGCTGCAAAAGCGGATTAAGATATGGCTAGTGAGAGATTCTCATCCATATGACCTGGGGTCGACAGACCTATCGCGCCCGTTCTTTCCGCTCTTCTGATTTAGGAACTCTTCAAAGAAAAACACCTGCACGTGCTTTTCAAAGATAACAGACAGAAACAAATGATAAGGGTGGATCCGGAATGTTATCATACTTTGTTGACCACCACTACTGATATACGCCATCTTGAAAGTATCAGAGAAACCGATCGTATTTATTTCGAATATCTGAGTCGATGTAAAATTGTATTTTTCTTCTGTTTGCAGGATTTAATTCTAATTAAATAATGATTAATTTCATATTCCATTTCCGTTCAGTTTACTTTTGTTAAAAAGCAAGAGCTTACATAGAACCTAACGTGTTATTGTACTTAAAGTCACGTGATTGAACAAACATCATAATCCTTTTCCCGCGTGTTCAGTAAGTCAAATCGCAGCAAAATATTAAAACACGAGACGATTATCTTCTCTATGGCAACATATAACTGGGCCATACTGATTAACGTTTTAAAACGCCTTTAAAACTATGGTCTTTTAATTACGTTACCAATTAAGAAACATGAAAAGTTTTAATCGTGATCGTATAGAATATGTAAACCGTCTTTTTAAAGTTCACATCAAACAAGTTTTTCTCCATATGGTAACCCACTTGTAGAGGAATGTCGAGTATGGTAGTAAGACCGTGTTTGTGGTAGTAGTGGTTTTACACGTGTGGCACAGAGGGAGGGGGCAATCCAACTTGTTTTAAGGTTAGAATGTTTTCAATTAAAACAGTGACTCTCGGTTCGGCATGAGCTTTGATAACGTTACCAGATTGAAACGCCATGTAAACCACATAGGCCACCGAGGTACAGTGAAACTCTATCTGTTTATCCGCCAAACACATGTTCGGGAGTTGTTACCCCGGCCTAAGGATCTCCCGCGTGTCGTGGTGCAGCCATTATCATTCACTTTGTCATGCAATGATCATATAGCCAAAGAAAAGACTATTTAAACAATACCGATGTCGGGTAATTCATAATTTATACGTTTACCTTTCATGTTTGCAGGTATGGGAAAAATAACTTCCCTACAGAATAATTATGCATCTCACTGTCTAACGCTACTAATGTGGGATTGCATACAAAATATGTTGTGTCGTCTGCTAAGGAGAGCATTGCAGAGGTCAACATCAATCCTTTAACCCCCACCCCCTACCCAATCCCGTTCAGCCCCACCGCCATTTCAATGTACACTTCATTTAGGGGGTTTGTGGTTTTACAACAGTTGGAAGCTGACATGGGAGTAAAAGAAGTCGTCATTTCTTTACTAATACATAGGAGTTCCAAGAGAGTAACACAACGTACATGACGGTAGAAACACTGTATACATACACTGATGTG